ATAAAATGATGATAAGGGGTACCCCCATGACTAAACGGAAAGCTCCAGACTGCAGGAGGGACATTTGGTCTACTGCGCGAGCATACTACACTGGGCAAATTTTCAACATGACTTTCCTTAGTGAAGTGTCCATGTGGACTTGATGGTTGTTGGCATTGGCTGGTCAGACTAGACATTGTGCGCAGGGTGGCTGAGCATTCCACAGGTAATGAAGGCAGCATATTTCAGTTTTCCCATGTTTTCCCATGAACCAACCAACCAGGAACCAAACAGAATGACTTTCCAATCATTTGTGAAGTAACACCATGAACCAGCAATCTTCTTGACGGATTTGCCTGGGCGGGGAACTGCAGCTGCTAAGATATGACTTCTGTCGTCATCGTGGCTGGAAAGGAGTGACAGTCGCAATTTTTGTAGCATCATGTAGCATCTATACAGTCGTAATGCGCATCATTTCTGAGCCTCTTTTTGTGCCATTGAACTTCAGCTTGCCTTGAAGAAACGTGCATTTCTGAGACTCATACCATCGAGAGATTAGAGGCTTTGCAGCTGCAGGAGGGCATCTACGAAAAAAACCAAAGGGTTGGCTATGGAGCAGGCCGTGTCGACAACTTCGACATGTTTCGACAACGACACCTTGCTGGATCCTGCTGGGAGATTCTTGTTGCTGTGAAGTAATGCTGCGCCAGGTTCTGATCGATGCCAGAATTTCAGAAAATGGCCGCGCTTTGCCGCCAGGGTTCTGGTCGGAGTCAAATTCAACTGTAAGCGGCCGTCCGGCAGGTCGTTTCTTTCAACGTTTCTTTCAACATCAAACGGTGGTTTGGCAAACCAGACATTCATGATTCATGATTGCCCAGACATTCATTATGTGATTAATGAAGAAATCAGCATGGTGAACATGGTGCCAAGTTCTTCATAAGGTGGAGCGATGGAACAGGCAGCATATCTGTACTTTTCAATATCATTTGCTGTTCCAACGTCTTTCAGGGCTTGCTCATTGCTCAACTTTGCGTTCTGAAAACTGCCATGTCAATGTTTACACCAGTTTCACAGCCATGGGACTTGTTGTTGAAAGACGTCCTAGCAGATTGTCCTAAGCCAGGGTGACAGCACAGATAATATAGTGTTTGATCTTTATCACTTCTTCAGAAACTTCTTCGTCCTGAAATCTATTGAAATGCGTAGACTCTGCATGATCTGCATGGTTTTGGACCTTTGCCAGCATTTTTCTTGTCATGTGGAGGTCCCTAAAATATCCTAAAATGGGGATACCTCCAATAATCATCCATATTTTCATAGAATTTCCCCGTTGATCACTATATCCAGCTATATCCAGCTATTGGGGAAACAGCCCATTTATAAACCAGCCATATTTTTCTCGCAGGAGAGCAGTACCGAGTCGGAGGTGCCTCGCCGCAGCTCCAAAACCAGCTCCGTGCGACGGCCGCCGGAGGCAGCAGACACTGCGGAGGCACGGCGCACGGCGAGGGGCGCCCCACCAGCCATGGCCCCACCAGCCATGGCCCCACCAGCCATGGCCCAGCAGCTTTTTCAATGCCGGGAATGCCGTAGCAGTCGACTGGAGATTGGTTTTTATTTCTGGATTCTGGATTCTGGATATATTTTAAAGATGCTAAAAGTATCAAGACAATTCAAGACATATATAGCTTTAAACATGGCTCGAGAGTCTCGAGAGATTGATTCTTGTTCGCCTGATCGATTTTCCATGATTTTCCCGTTTTCAGATTTTCAGGGCGCAGACCTTTGGCAGAATGTTCCCGTCCGAGTTCCCGAACCCGGAAATCAGGGACAGCTCCTCTTGGAAGCCTTCAGACGTTATGACCGAGAAGATGAAGGTCTGGGAGATTGCGAAATGTCTGGAGTACATGTGGAACTCATAAAATCTGTGTGCAAACGTTGGACATCGTTAGACATGCACATAGTACTAATATTTAATGTATATATTTACACATGAACATAGTACACATGTATAAAAATGTATAAAATACAGGAGTTTGTAAAAACCTCGCACCTATTCGTTTAGTCTTCCATGATCCCCCATGAGCCATTTTTAGCTTTCACTGGGAAAAACGATAAGAGGAACAAACAAACGATATTAAAGTTGAACGTTGGTTCTGTTAATGATTTGTGTCCAGACTCTTAAAATCCAATGTTTTTTTCCATTTGTCCGTCGTTCTGCAGCTATTATAGTGTTTTTGGTTTCTTCATTTCATTGTTTGTTGTCGGGATTCACGAACGACCACAAAACGAAAACGAAAACGACAACTTTTGACGTCAAAAATGGTCCGTGTGAGACACGGCCTTTTTTTTTCCTTTTCTCCCTTTCCTGTCCTTTTTCCTTTCTCTTCCTTTACTCTTCCTTTTCCTTCTCCTTTCCTTTTTCCTTTTTCTTTTTCTTTCCTTTTTTATTTTCCTTTCCTATTCCTTTTCCTTTTCTTTTCCTTTCGTTTTTCTTTTGCTTTCCCTTTCTCTTTCTTGTTCCTTTCCCTTTCCCTTTCCTATTCTTTCCTTTCCCTTCCTTTACTCTTCCTATTCCTTTTCCTTTTCCCTTTCCTCGCTCATGTGAATCCTTTGGTCAAGGTGTTTTTAGCCAGCACTTGGAAAAACGATAAGAGGAAAAAAAAAACGACAACGTGTGAAAAAACCATTTGAAAGGGCTCTGGGTTTTTACAAGACCCCGTCAAGACGCATCAGATAGGATCAGATCCGATCTGATTAATGAAACGCATCTGCACACGCATCTCCGCATTACACAACTATTTATAGGCAACATTAGGCAACTAGGTCGAAACTTGGAAACACACACCACTGGCACTTCAGAACTGATTAAGTCGATGTCTGCTTCCCAAAATTTGGATCCGAGTTGTGATCTTGGCTGTGCTCTGCGGATTGGTTCTCAGTAATGAGCTGGTTGCTCATTTAGATGCCGGGCAATGTCTATCCCTACTTCACCCAAAAAATGGAGCAAGTTTCTTTCTCCCTTCAGGTGAACTGCCGATGAAAGATGTGAGATCCTGCCTGGCAGATATTGGCATCCATCCCAGCTTGCCTCCAGTAGGGGCTCCCCAGGTCCCAGCTCTTGGGAATTCTGATCCATGAATCGATCATCCTCTTGGCGACTGGCCCTGGGATGCCCGATAAAAATCATCGGCCCGAGGAAAAGCGTGCGATGACGGAAGTGCTGCAAAGCGCCCAGCCTCAACAGGTGGGGTGAGATATTTCAACAGGCACTTTGAAGCCGGAGTTTTTCAGCGATTCCGGACCTTCCAGTTGAAATTCTGATTCGGCATTGGCTGGTGCTTCATTCATGTTCATTCATGTTCGTTCATTTGAAAGGTACAGCATGGTACACCGTAAGCGTACACAGCATTTAACACAGCATTTCCCATGACGGATCCGGCTGGTGCTGCTATATTAATGCTAACATAAATGGGGTATATTGATGGGATCCATGGAGCACCATATATAGCATATATACCCCCAATAGGGTATGGTGTTACAATGATGGGATCCATATATATATATATATATAGAGCATAATTACATGGATCCGTCATGGGAAATGGTGTTTTCCTGGCTCAGTGTTTTGCGTCACAAAAAAATCGCCATTCCCCCAGAACGGCCTGGACTTTTACGTCATTTCTCAGCTGGTCCCCAAGATCTGGGAGGTGCGGCCCTGCCCGTTTTGGAGCGCGGAGGAAATTTTTCGATTTTTCTCATGGGATCAAATCCCGGCAATTTAGAAGGAAGACACCCACACAGAATATACTTACATATATATATATAGTTATATATATAATACATATATTATCATATATTTATAATATATATATATATTATAACATACATATACAATATACAAAGTTCCGATTGAAATTGCAATGCCAATACTGAGTAAGTGACATGCAAGCGCAAAACCATGCCAAAACAAAGCTTTGAAAGAATGACTTGCAGAAAGATATTCTTGAATTCCCAAAGCTGACATCTTTAAAGCGCCAGATGAAAAGATGATTTTGCTCGACATGACACATCATCATTTTGTATTATCCTTCCCTTCATCAAGGATGTGTGGCTTACTGATGTGTTTTTTAACCTGTTTTTGAGACAAAGGTGGACATGAGCATATTAAGCACGGGTAGAAGAGGAACCAACTGCCCAGATAGAGGGACCCAAGGCTTACCAAGATATTTCTACTGGAAACAGTTATTGAAATCCATCCAACGGATGCCAAGAGCGTGGGTCAAACCTTTGAATAAATGTGATGTCACCCAAGCCGCTTTCACCCCACGGATTTGGGCAATTCAACATGTATTCTGTGGAGATGGTGACATGGTGACATGGTGAGCCGCAGAGGCAATCGCATTGGCTAAGAGACAGGCTGGGCCATGCTGGGTCACGTTTTGAAAAGTCACACATTGCACCATGACACCACATTTCTGAGACTGTTCATGACTGGTTGGTGGTTTGGAACATTTGGATGATTTTTCCATATATTGGGAATGTCATCATCCCAACTGACGAATTCATATTTTTCAGAGGGGTAGGTATACCACCAACCAGATGAGTTTTTCATGATTTTTGATCATCCTTTACAGCTTCGGACGGTCAGAGACTTGCAAATTTGGCCAACTTGCGAGTTGCGATGGCCTCAGGACCTAGAGTACTGGTTCAGCCGCTCCTTAGACGAGCCTTCTTCTCAGACTTGATGTTTTGGGTTTTTGTTCGTTCTGGGCACGAGTTTATACACTTGAATGGATGGGTTGGTTCTGGGCACCTAAAAGTCTCAAGCTTCACTACTTTGCTGACAGGTCTCACTTGAAGCTTCTGCCGCCTTCCAAGACCAAGCTCCAACAGGATAGTAACAAATGCCCCATGCTTCAACTACAGCCCATGAGCAGGTCAAGTTGTAGTGACATGGATAGAACTGATAGACATGGACAGGCATGGCTTCAACAAGACGCGTTGCGGCTCACTCAATGGCCTCCGTTGTGTTTCCAGTGCCATGTCCTTCTCTGGCAGTGAAACCCCACGTTGTGGCAGGGGTCCGAGCGTCGGGTCCTTCTGTTCTTGTGACCCACTTGCCAAGACACAACGTTTCTTGGAGGAACTGTTTCACTTCTGACATCTGACCAAGTTTCTCCAAATTTCGCTAGGTTGAAACAGAGAGGCACTCTGTAATAGACATCGTAGGAGACTTCCGGAGAAGCAACCAATACCAGACCATCAGCCTGTTTAGCTGATTTTTTTAAGGTAGGGCACTTTGGAAAACCTCTTGTTCGGAGGTTTCCAGCTTTGTGTCTGCAATTGATGGGCAACCAGCCATGAGTATCTTTTTCATTTCAATCTTTTTTCTGACTTTTTGACTTCATGCTCCAGAAGCACCTCCAAGCACGCAGTGTGAAGTGCGCAACTTGTCCTAGGTGCAGCTGGGCGTCGGTTTGGCGTTGTGTCTGCGCTTAGCGCAAAATTCTGCGCGCGTCAGGCGGAAAGCTGAGGGTGCACTTGCACCTCAGAGAAGTCTCTAGGCCAACGGGTGAAACTTCGGTGAAACTGGTGAAACCTTCAGACACTCCAAGGCTGACTATATCTGACTATGATAGATTGAAGAAATCAGTGAATTTTATGTGAGACTTCTGCGAAATCATCCGAACATGTCCAGAATGTCCTGGTTCTCTAGCTGGATAAGCCGTCTGAAGTTTCCAGCTGTCATTCTGCTGGAGTTTTACGATATCCTGAGGTGTCCAGCTAGATCAGGACGGTCGACATTGGGAAGCCTTCGTGTCACGTATCGGGCCCCCATCGTCGAAGAACGTGGACGCCAGCGCCGCCAGCGCATGGCGCTGCGGAGCTGGAAAGCTACGGGTTGTATGCCATGAAGCCAGTGCCTTGGCCATGACGCCATGACCAGGTGGAGGTGAAAAGGATAGTCACATTTTTCAGATATTTTGAATAGATATGTTTTTTTTGATGTTTCATATGGTTTGATAATATTATATTTGATTCATTAACATGATAGATTTTAAGAGATCTTTTAGGAACATATTTTTCTATGATTTTAAGTTTTTTTTTCGTTGGAACAGACCCACCAAGCCAGACCAAGCCACAAAAATGAAGAGCCAGTTTTTTTAGGACTGCAGCATCACCATCCGCCAAGGTTCAATCACTTCGATGGCCTTGAGGGGCGAGAGCCTGTGCTTCGGCACCAGCTGCGGTCGAATTCGCGTGGTGGACCTACGCAGTGGAGCCAAAGTTGGCGACTCGAAAAAAACTCCACACATCTCCACAATATTCCATATTTCAATGGGATCCATGTATGGTATATATGCTAACATTGGGGGTATATTGATGGTAAATGTTACCATATATAGCATACATGGATCCTATGGGTATTTCAATGGGAGATCTTCAGGATCCAATTGATGGAGGTACGTTAGTACCATATAAGATATTTTTTAGGCCATATGAATTGTGGGGATATTCCCTGAAATTTAGGCCTGAAAAATAGGCCTTATATATGGTAGGTACCTCCAATTTAGGATCCTGAAATGGCCATTGAATGATGTTCTGAACTTGGCTGTCCCTTTGGTGATATTCCGATTTTCTTTCACTCATTCAACTATATTCAAATAGCATGAAGGCTATGAAGGCTATGAAGGCATGAAGTGGCCCCTTCAGTTTCCAAACAAGTTGGAGCCAGTTCTGATTTAACTTGTTGCTTTGGACATCTTTGGACACGTCTTGGATGCGTCTTGGGTTAGTTGATGTTAGTTGTAATTGGGTACACCTCCCCGGGGGATGTTTAAGGTGAGTATTTCGTCGGATCGCATGTGCCCTCTCCGATTAGCTTACTTCACTTCGATGAGGGTGGAGAACTGCTGGTCGCAGGGGACTTGAGGGGCCGATTGCATGCTTGGAAAAGCAAGTTCCCAGGCTCCTGGGGGTATAGAACCCATCCTGACATCAGCTTCATCGACGGCGGCTGTGCCAGCTGTGCTCACAGCGCTGCGGTCACTGGATTGATCTTGTCAGGGGATATGATGATCAGCAGCAGCTGTGACGGCTCTGTGTCCTTCTGGAGCCTGAAAGATCCTGATGTCGATTCTGTCGATGTCATCCATCCATCCAGCAGCACGCGTTTCTTGGGCGTACCTCTCTGTTTGTGCGCTGCTGCTCAAGGATCTCAAGGGGTTTTTGTCGGCTTCAAAGATGGCTCTGTGAGGAAGGTCGTGATGATTGACGGAAAGTGCGCAGATTCCATGTCCCTTCCACCATCAGAGTCTGGAGTTGCTAGGCTTAGACTCTTAGACCGGTCCCCAAAGGCCACCTTGCTGCAAAGAGTCATACGAAATGGCGAGTATAACATGTGAGAAACTATGAGATGCTCATATTGCGATATTATATGAATATAAACACATATCTTTATATTACATGATATTACACAATTTTACATTATATTATATTATATTATATTATATTATATTACATTGTGTTATATATTATATTATAGTATATTTTATTATATTACATTACATTATAGTACATTACATTATTTTACTATATTACATTACATTATATTATACATTATATTAGATTATTATGTTATGCTACGTTAGGTTATATGCAATAATTTTGTTTATTAAACATGTTAACTTTGATGTTCAAAACTTAAGGCTGTGACTGCTCTAGCCTTCCAATCGGAGACGCTGATCGTTGGCTTCGAAGATGGACAAGTGAAGATCCTGCGTCAAGGGCGCGATGCTTTGATTTGCAAGCCCTTCCACTCAAGCAATGTGCAAGATTTGAGGATGTTATCAGATGATCTCTTCCTGAGCAGTGGCCAGGTTGCATCAGGTTGCCAAAAAGGATGCTACAACTGTTAGCAAGTTGCTTGCCACCCTGGAGCCTCTGAAATCTTCGATGTTTGTGTTGTTTGGGGACGCAAACCATTATTGATTTATATTATTGGCAATGCCTGAACTCTTGGGTGATACTAAGTATTCATGGATACCTACATAGTGAGCCTCTATCGTCAATCTGTTTCGGGCCGGGATCTATCTATCTCCAACTGTTTCGGTGAAGCGATTCATTCATCCAACTGCGAAGTGCGAACCGTTCTGCTAGGTGCTTCCGATGGCCGTGTGGCTGTTTGGAGCATGCGAAGTGGTTCCCCTCTGTGGGGCTTCCGCGGCCTCTCGAGCCTGGAGGACTTGGATCCTCAGGATCAGGCCGACCAGAGCAGAGCCAGGTGGGGATCAGTGATGGCTTGATGGGAGCAGCTTTCCTAATACCCAGATGCTCGCGAAGCCCATGGTGCTGGAATATGCACACCTACATATATTTACCCCAATTTTATGGCCCAGTTTTGTAGGTGTAGCACATGGGATATGAGGCTACCCCTAGTTATCATCCATTGTTATTTCGATGGAAATTTCCACATTTCATGAAGCAACCAGCGATAAAGGGGATCCCCAACCCCCCAGATCGGGGATTGTCAAGGTATCCTCTATATCCACCGATCGTTTTGCTGGGAAATAACATATACGTCATATACCCTCTGGTAAACGTTTACATAACTATGGAAAGATCCACCATTTTTAATGGGAAAATCCACTACAAATGGCCATTTTCAATAGCTATGTTAGTTTACCAGAGGGTATTGTTGTTAAAAAACCTCGGTTTTTCACGTGCCCAGTGAGAATTCTGGCAAATGATGCCGTTCGTGATACAACATGATACAACCACAAGTCACAAGTCGGACATCCGATGTCATCCTCATGCTGTGCTTCCCGAAACGCACTGCAATTTGGATCTCGATCTAAATCGCTCCACCAGAGAGAAGCCAGTTGAAATTGCCACGAGATGCCAGGAGCTTTTGCCTGGCTACAGACTCCACGAAACTGCTCTGCAGTCTGGTGATCAACCCAGTGACACCTGCCAACACGATCTTTATCAACGACTGGCGCCAATCAAGATCTCCGTTTGATGAGGTAGCGCCAGCATGTGAGGCCATCCTGTGTATGGACTTTGATGACGATGAAACCCATGCCTGACCGTCAAAAGAAGCTGGTGCGATTGGGGATGTATCAGTAAATATGTTTTGATTAAGAGTGTATATCTTTTATGTCTTCATCATGGCCGCAGTCTTCAGGGGTTCAAAGTTTTCAATTTGGGACGCCCCACTGACCGTTAGTGCCCAAAATGTCTTTGGAAAGAGATACGGTCCATGTAAGGTTGCAAATCTTTGGTAGATCTGAGAGATCCTGGCAATCACGCCCGAAGTGGATTGAAGCATCGACATGGAGTCGGTTGGTGATTGAGTTTACACTATTCGAATAGTGGATTCTGAGACTTTCCATTTTGAGAAATTCAGCAATCTTATGCTTCAGTTGGGAGACTGCAAGATGGAGCCAACCTTGCCAGCCTTTGAGAAAGGGCTTCAGCTTGTGTGTACTCCAGGAGTGTTTGTAGCGGCTTGTAGTGGGTACTTCTATTAGCTTTTTTCTGCTCAAGCTTCATGAATTGCTTCCAATTCGATTTCGGCTTCTTCCACATGGTGCTGGGTTTGGAAGGAAACAACTTATCTGCCCTAGGTAGACGACTGAGAAAAACGTTGGAGCAGAAGAAGACAGCGTCCATACATTAAACCCAGCATGGCTTTGAAATGCTTTGAATATGTCGTAACCCCAATTCTGATGTCTTTGCCCTCTGAGATTCTGTAGAGTCCTGCGATCACCTTTCACCCCCATTTGATCTGCTGGGTGAGTTTCTTTCACACGATCTTTTGTTCCAATCCAGAGGGTGCGGTGCCATTTCAAGATATTTCAAGCCATTTCTACAGCACATCTCAGACACAAACCTTGGTCACCATGGCATACTATGCCGCGCTGCAGCTCGCACCTGGTGTCACAGCCCAAGAGATCCGACAGGCGAGAGAGTCTTGACTACCCTCCATATTTCAATGGGAGATCTCCAGGATCCTAAAATGGAGGCACTGTACCATTTTTCAGGCCATATTTTGTGGGGATATTCCCTTACATAGGCCTAAAAAATAGGCCTTATATATGGTAGGTACCTCCAATCTATCCTGAAATGGCCATTGAATATTCCTCCGTGTTCCTCCATGTTCCCTATGAAATGCGGAGCATTGCGGAGCGAAGGATCTACGAATTGAGTTTTTCAACAGTGACTTCCATGATTTTAGATTTACCCTCTGGTTATTTAACGGTTGGCTATTGAAAATGGCCCATTTATAGATGATGTTCCCAGCTATAAACCTCCATTTATAAGGGATTTTCCATGGCTATGTTAAATAACCAGATGGTAGATTCATTGTGATTCATTGTGATTCAGTGGCAGCCGCACAGGCCGAATCCATAAAGAACACTGGCCTCGCCAGGCATACCTTGAGCGAGCACGACTCCTACATCCTGATTTGGGCGGCGACGCCCAAGAATTCCAACGTGTACAGGAGGTCGCACGGCTGTGTGCGAAGAGGATTCGTGCAGCGTATACGAAAAGTTCAAAAACCTTTTAAGGTTAACTAATTGGCTTTTGAATGTTTTGATCATTTTATGGATTTTATGGTATCTATAGATAATTGGAGGTTCAAAGCAAAGATTTCTGCGTTGGTTTCTGCGTTGGTTTACCATCCTCTCGTGTCAGCTCCCAGGTCTCGACTAGTGTGTATCACAAACAGTTGGTGAATCGACTCACATCACCCATAGGATCCATGTATGCTATATATGCTAACATTTGGGGTATATTGATGGTAAATGTTAGCATATATAGCATACATGGATCCTACGGGTCATATCACACCATATCACTATATCACAAGAATCGACATCCATTTCAATGGTTTTGACAGTGGCTTTCTATCCCGACCAGCATTTCACCTGAGGCCTATGATGTGCTTGGCGACCCAGTGAAGCGAAAGGCCTACGATGTGGCGCTTGACTCGCCGCGGCGAGCTCGTGGAGGTCCACGGATGGGGGGTGTGCATGTGAGAATTTGTGCATCTCACTGGGCATCAAAATGACAAAAAGCTATTGAACATGGCCATTTATAGTTGATTTATGTTGATTTTCCCATTGATAGCATGGTGATTTTCCATAGGTTTTTTGTATGTTTACCAGAGGGTAACATGCATAAATCATCAACATCCAACATCCAACATCCAGCAACATCCAGCAACATCCAGCAACCCATGGGTTGCCGTTTGGAGTAGCTGATTTTTCAACCTTTTTGCCAGAGATTTTGAAAAATGTCGAGCCTAGCGGGATGATTATTGGTGTCAGTTTGATGCACAGCCAGAAGGACAAACCCAGCTGATCATCTTGATCTTTTTAGGGCTTGTCAAACCACTGACAGACCTGATTCTTCCAACATCTTCCAAGAGTGACTTGGGTGTTTCATCTTGATTTAATGGTGACTAATGGGGGGTTTAACATGATTTAATGGGGCTAAAGGGGGTGTTTAATGATGGTTTTTAGTGGTTGTGGGGCTTGTCAAACCACTGACAGACCTGGGTGCAGGTCACGATGGTCGAGGTCCCAAGACTTCCCCAGCCGGAGCTGAAGCTTGGTCAGCTTGGTCAGGTCGGCGAAGCGCCATGAAGAATTGAAACAGGGACACTTAAAGTCAACAGAAACAAGATGAAACACAATTACTGTGGGTCAAACAATGTCATATGTTTACCATCCCCCAGAAAAATCACATGTCATCACCATTTTTATAGGTTTTATGTTACGGTATGTTTACCATTCCCAGTCATGGGTGGTTTATTATTGTTTTGCCCACAATTGTCATAGTTTCTCAAAGTTCCTTTTTTTCCCCCTTTTTTCACATGTTTCATGCGTTCAACAGAAACTCGGCTTCAAATGATACGTCCCGGAATAGCCTTGACTAAAGACGAGTTACAGTTACACAAATACATGGCGTGATCGTGTTGGATTTGGATAGACAGTTCACGTTAAGGGCCTGGTGTTTTGAATTGTTTTTATGCCTTGCGTTTCAGATAGGCTTCGTTTGGAAATGGAAATTTCCGTCAGGTTTCAGTCGGTTTCACCATCACAGAGCATCCGAGAGGCACCAGCCAAGCGCGGCAGTGGGTGAAGCAAGGCCAGTCTCAAGCACCTTGGACCAGCGACCAGCTGCGCAGAGCTATGCATACTGAAAAGGATGGGTGTGGAAGCAGGGGAAATGGAGTCACAACGATTTACAATCATGTTACATATATGTACTAGTATTTACTCTATACTGTACTTGCAATATATATATAATTATATATATATATTACATACACATCATATCAAGCTGTGAAGCTGCTGCTTTAACACTGACTTAGTGACCCCTGTCACTGGCTTTCAATCCTCATGTTTGTAGTGACTTGCAGAGTAACTTGCTTTCCTGTGACGTGTTACCAAGGTAATGAGGTGGTACAACATGCCCATCCCGGAATTCGCTTGGAACCTACATCTGCTGTACAGCCGAGCTTTTAATCGCCCGCAGGCCTGAGACTCTAACACCTGCTTAGGGCTTAGGGTACTCTCTGGGCCTAGGGGTCTTTTTGGCAAAAAAACACACCACTATAATCCCACCAAAACACCATGAAACAATTCAAACAAACCAAGAAACACCAAATGGACCCCATAAGATTTTGATTGGTTTTGTTGGCTTTTTGTAGGTTTTTCTTAAGGCTAAAGCAATCAGGGCGCGTGGGATGACATATTCAGATGACAATGGATGATGACATGAGTTGCTGATTGAATGAATGGGTTCAGTCCAAGCCTCGCCATTTGGGTCAAGGCAAGATGCCCACCTCCAAGAGAAAGGGCATTCCTGGAAAATGTTCACTCCCAAAGGATTACTTGCACCATCCCACCCATTCGATGTCATTCATGGGTGGGCTTGGTGGGCTTGGTCATGGGGCAATGGGAATGCCATGAAAATGGGCCTACCTCAGCATGTGTCCTTGGGGCAGCTGTCGGTGGCCTTCATTAGCTGCCTAACTTGGAAGAGAGAAAGCATGTGTGAATTGTGCTGGATTGCCAAGGATTTGATTGGGATTTCCCATGATTTTATTTAGGGTTTTCTGGGGTGTTCCAGGGTTTGAGTGGGAACAAATTGGGTTTCCATTGGGAAACATGTGGGCCTAGAAAAATCAAGAAATACCATAACAGATTGGTATTGCAAGCAGGCCTATGAACTTTGTGGGGCACATCGCACTTTCTTGTTTTTTTTCCCCACCTGGCAGGTGAGGGCTTCTAGATTTTAACAAGAAATCCCGCACACAACAACCAACAAACACACACTGACACACACACACATGCACTCTATTGCGAGCTCGCCAGCTCTCTGGGCCCTGCCATAGATAAAACCCCAGATAGAATGTCCGGATATATGTCAGATAGACTGCCAGATCAAATGCCAGAAAGGATGTCGGATAACAAGGTCAGACATAATGCCATGTACACTGTCAAAGATTATGTCAGAACAAATGTCGGAATGCATGTCAGATAACATGTGTCAGATTGTGTGTCAGAATAAATGTCAGATCAGATGTCAGAATGTCAGCAAATATGCCAGGCAGAATGTCGGAATATATATATATATACATCAGAATCAGATAGAGTGTTAGAATAAATGGCAGAATTTATGTCAGATAGAGTGTCAGACTAGTCGAGAGGTAAAATGCCAGATAGAAGAACGTCAGAATATATGTGAGATAGAATGCCAGGATATTTGTTGGATAAAATGTGAGATAGTATAGCAGAATTTTGTGTGATAACATATGTCAGATTTTTTGCAAACTAACATGTCGGGTAGTATATGTCATTACCTGTGCTTCAAAATACGTCAGATAAAATGCAAGATAGAATGCCAGATTGAATGTCCGGATGTATGTCAGATAGAATGCCAAATCAAATGCCATAAAGGGTGTAAGATACAACGTCAGATATAGCGCCAGATACGATGTCAGCTATTATGTCAGAATAAATGCCGGAACATGCCAGACAGAAAGTCAACATATAATTATATATATATATAATTATATATATATGTAAGATAAAATGTCAGAAACTATGTCACGCTGGGGATCACTCCAAGAAACCATGGTTTTTTCTGAAACTGGTTAGCTGCTTGCTATTTCCCAGCTGTAGAGCCGTGCAGATGCCGCACGCTGCCTTCTTGGTGCTTCTGCGGCAGCGCTATCGCTACTGGATTAGCGTCAGTGCCACGGGAATGCTTCGGAAGGTGGGGCTGGGCTGAAACGGCTTGTCCTGAAACGGTTTTATCTAAAAGTGGGGTGTGCCCAGAAAGTAACAATTTTACCCTCTGGTAAACTAACATAGCTATTGAAAATCACCATTTATAGTGGATTTACCCATTAAAAATTGTGATTTTCCATAGTTATGTTAGTTTACCAGAGGGTAATTGATTTCAGTGTGGAAAAATGATGACATACATACCAATACATACCATTGGATTTTGGGATACCCATGGGTACCCTATCAAAACAGCGAAATCCAATCCGAAGGCGTTCAACGGACCACGTCGGACCACTTGCTGATCCAATGGGTTTCGCACGTTCCTGGCCCATCAAGTGTTCCGGTGAGACGCGTCAGAAGGCACCCATAAAATGGGCCATTTTGGGCCATATATCTCGAGAAAAAAAAACACCCAATTCCACAAATGCCAAGTCGATTTTAAATTGATTTAAGATGTCTAAGATATTTCAAGATTACATAGTATTATTGACATTTATTTACATCAATTTTATCCTGCATTATTCACCCTAGAGTTATGGCCAAAGTCTGCCAGACGGCAGGTTTCGATGTCTTTCCTGGACCTCTCGGCCGATGCCCTACGTGCCCTACGCCTGCGTCTGGCAGAGCCCCAGCGACAGAATTTTCGTTGGTCGAGGCGGCAATTTGGTGGATTTGATTTTCGTTTGACGAAGTGATTTGATGACTATTTGAAGACTTAGATCGACTTAGTATATGATTGTTAAAAAAATGTTAAAAATACATCTTAATTCGACTTAGCGCCTAGGGCTATGATATTTGACATGATACAGGGGTTGGAAAATGTCTTGTGTTGGGAGATTTTGAACATCACTTGAAGAAGTATTTGCTGTGGATTGTGGAATATAATATATATATATATATTCCCTTTTCTTGGTGATGTTTTCACAAATAGGACATTGACCAAAGCCTGAGATATTTCGATGTTGCTTTCTGATAGGACCAATTCCTGGAGTCCCTGTAGATCCTGGAGCCTTGGCTGGTGCAGCATCTTTCGAGCCAGGTGTGACGATCGGTGAAAACCGGTGTTGAAAACCAAGCCGCACAGACAAAACACGCATTCAGAACATTCAGATTTTGTTACCCGGCCTGGTTATGACTAACACTTCGCCATGGTTTGTCGATGGCCCTAATCACTAATCGAAATAGATGGTTTACCTATGAAAATAGCATGGTGATTTTAACCATGGCGAACTGTTAGTCATAACCAGCTGGTAGACTTCGCATCCCACATCATGCCACCTATCAGGATTCACGACCCCAGATATCCCACGATATCGAGCCATATCGAGCCACGCCACCCAGCCATAGGCGCGGAAACGAGCTCCGCGCAGAGCCAGATCAGCTGCGGAAACGAGTGGTCCAGGGCCGATCAGCCGCCATGGTGGAGTTGATTCGACAGTGCCGCAGGTTGCGTTGCTGCGGTTGCGGGTGGTCAGCAGGGTGGTCAGCAGGGTGGCCACCCTAATTCGGTTCCACTCCCAACTGCAGAGGAATAGATTGATGCTGAGAAAGTGGATGGATTGAATATGATTGGATAATATATAAAGCATGTCTAGGTCTCGAACATTGATAACATTGCAGCCCTTGCATATGTAAAGGTGCCCTCCTTGATCCCTGAATATTGAACAGTAGATCACACACAGCCCTGGTTTCCAGAGTGATGGTTGGGATTGGGTGGTTTTATTTGAAGGGCCGAAGGGATGCATTGTCCGAAAGCCCATAGGCACCTACGTAAATCACTATAGTAACTGTCAATTCCATATCTTCTTTCCAGCCATGATCATAGCCATGATCATTTCACATCTCTGAGAAGTCAATCTTTTCTATCAAATGGAGCAAATAATTCGTTTATCGGAGCCAATGATGCTGATTAGAAAATGACCCTGGTCCAGGATGGGCCCAGGTCTAGTCTGTGAGCTGCAAGGTTCGGCCAGACGTGCACCAAGCTTCCACGAGTTCCACGAGCGTCCAGCCCACGGCCGGGCTGGATCTGGATGTGGCCGTGAAATGATATGACACCTTTGGATCTGTTGTTCCTCTGTGTTCCAATCAGAACACTTGTCATATCTTGCCATACTGTATCTGGTGAGGTTTATGGGTTTATGGGAAGTCATGGTTGAAACATGTACGAAAGCTATAAACTTTCCTGGCAACGATGAGCCTGCTGGTCATGTAGCACCAGGACTTGTATGGTAGATGTGAGCAATCCTGACTGCCCCTTCAAGCCTGAAGCTTCTGCCAAAAGCAACAGTCGAGGATTCCATCATGGATTTCACGTGTTTGACACGATGGATTTCCATGGATTTCCACGGATTTCCATGTGTTTAGCAGATCTTATGGCTGATCTCAGGGTCTCTCCCGCGCTGGCCTTGGGGGGTGCCTTGGCCTTGGGTGGCAGCGGCGGCATCTGGGCGGCAGCCACCTGGCAGTCCAAAGAGGTGCGCTGTGGCAAGATATCATGACAATGGATGAGTATCTTATCCATTACCCTCTGGTTATGTCAAAATAGCTATTGAAAATGGCCATTTATAGTGGATTTTCCCATTAAACATGGTGATCTTTCCATAGTTATGTTAAATTACCAGAGGGTATCCTGGTTGGTGGTTTCAAATTTTGAATTTTATTTTCCATTTCATATCTGGGATAATTCATCCTTCCCATTGACGAACTCGAACTCATATTTTCAAGATGCTTAAAACCACCAACCAGTATCTTACTGGATGATTATCTTATGTATTATCCATAGTGGATGATATAATGATATCTTTTTGTTGTCTGATTATTTGTTACCTTAAGGATCCTTAAGGCATCTTAAGGCGAGTAAGGATGATGATCGCACAGGTGATTGGTTGTTATGGCCCATTTTTTAAGGGGACATGTCCGGTGTCGACTAGATGCTTTCCCTCTAACATGTGCGGCCATCTGCTCAACAGCTTGTGAGGATGGTTGACTCCCCGAACATGAATTGTGAAGGTTTCAAAGACGAGAAAAACAGTAGTACACCAGCCATGAGTATTCTAAGCAGTTTTATAGATAGTATGCCAATAGAATCACTTTTATCAGTCATAATTTCATAATACATTGCAATACAAAGTACTGTACCTGTTTTTTTCCTTTGGTCTAAGCAGTGCGATTCCACATAGATCCCACATGACGTCTGACAGCGGCTTTTTAGCGGCAAAACGTTCCCCGGTGCGATGGCTTGACAAATCAGCACTCCGCTGATGGGGACGGCACCAGAGGATGTGCGAATTGAGGAGAGGCGAACGGAACGCCTCGGATGTCACTTCCTGTTGGGACTGGAGTGAAATACATCTGTAGATTTAGCTCAGAAAATCCTCCACATCAGTCTGAAAACTCAACATTTTCCAATGGTCACAGAGTTGGTTCTCAACAATTGGGCTCAGCTGCAGCAAAGAAGTGAGCATGAAAGGGGCAGCAGAGATTCTCAGTGTGAGGAGATGACTTTGTCGCCAGTGAAAGTCTTCAAGGTTCAAAAGCTGCCCTTGGGCCGTTCTTGACAAAGTCATAAGAAGCCTAAGTGAATAGCTGGTTGGTGGTTTCAAACATGAATTTTATTTTCCATAATATATGGGATAATCCTTCCCATTGACTAGTAGATCTAATAGAAGTGAATAGTCTATGATTTGGGGACAGATCTTGGAAAATCCCTTTGATTCCAATCGTGGAAACGGTGAAAAACCCAGGAATATGAGCACACAGGTCACAGCTGAAAAACCAACCCGAAATGGTAAACCTACCAAAAACGATGGAAAGATCCACCATGCTATCAATGGGTAAATCCACTATTTCGACTGGGCCATTTTCCAGTTCGCTAAGGTAAAGGATCCTAAGGGTCTCGTCACCGTCGCGGGGTCATCAGGTGCTGGGAAGCGAAGAGACCCTCGCGGAGTACAATGCCCACATGTCCAGGTCCACCCAACGATTGAATGATGCATCACAGCATCACACATATCACACTCCCCAACCATAGATGTCATGATGATGTCATGTTTACCCCTTTCACAACAGCTAAATGATGATAGATGGTATACCAAACCGGCCCCTTCTATTTTTACCAAAAGGACATGATTGTCCCCAAGTGTATGGTTTTTTGAACGTCTGCAAGAGCTGACTGCGCGCAAGTTCATCTTGTGCATCAAGATCATCAAGCGAAGTCAGAGAATGCAACACAGCATGATTTTTTGCTACGCAGATAGTTCACTGAAGCAACAGGTTCTTTTTTGTTCAGAAGGACAGTGGCATAATTTGTGACCATTTGAGGAACCTAAATCCTGGGCAGATGGTCACCTACCTGGAAAGGTTGAAGAGACCGAGTGACTGGAAAGCTATGTGTGCCATGGGATGCCATGGGTGGGCCCCATATCTTGATCATCTTCCGATATCTTCCTTCCAGCTGTGTCTCAAAGAGCATCCTAAAAGGGACATTGTCAATTGATAGAGAGCTTGCAAGACTTCGGTTTTTTGGGATGAGAACGTTAGGAGTTGCTTGAGCCAGAGGCTTCGATCCATATAAATCAATCATGATCAATCAGTGCTAGCCACATTCCTGCCATCCAGATAACTTCATGAAACTTCCATAAATGATGCAGCAATTGTCAATGGGAGATCTTCAGGATCCTAAAATAGAGGTACCACTCTTTAGGCCAAAAAATATGTGGGGATTTCTTCATGATATTCCATGATATTCCATGATATTCCCACAAACATAGGCGCAATTTGTTTTTCGCATATTCTGCCAGTGAGATGGGTATGGGTCAATACCTATAGATACATTTTTAGTGGGATGAACATCCATAAATCCCAGCTATTTTGATCTATTTTGGGGTTCACTAGGTACCAGGGTTTTGACTCATAGCCAGATCCAGGTACACCCAATTCATGTTGGACCACGCGCTGGGCACTGTTCCCTACCGATGGGATCAGAACGACAAGCAGGGCGAGATCTACAGCACGGCCAATCTCGTGGAGGCACCGTGGTATGCTTTTGCCATTGATTCACCCGGGACTACCCTCTGGTAAACTAACATAGCTATGGAAAATCACCATTTTTCATGGGAAAATCCACTATCAATGGTCATTTTCAATAGCTATGTTAAATTACCAGAGGGTACGTAGTGCGGCAATAGTATGACTGGTTGGTGCTGACTGGAAATGTTTGGAACATGACGAATATATGACTTTCCATTCAGTTGGGAATGGAATAACATCCCAACTGTTACTCACTCCATCATTTTTCAGAGGGGTAGGTATACCACCAACCAGATGAATACTTGATACTACCCATATGTGAACCATGGTGCTGGTATACTTACCTACAAAACTGGGTGATTTTTAGGGCAAATGTTGGTGTGCATCTTCCAGCACCATGGTTGGCATATGGGCTATTGAGACGGGGCTGAAAATTCCGATTCTTCCTTTTGGTTGTTGGAGTTTGCCCATTTGAGGGTTCACCAGGGTACCAGGGGGTTGACGCAGATCAGGTGAGCTTTCTCCAGCCGCTGGACGTGGTGGTGGCTGCTGGCCCAATATTTTGGGACGCCGCTGTGCCACAGGAGGATAAGGTGATGGTGATGCGATGTCCGCATTTTTTGGGGCCATCAGCGCATAGTCGAACTCAGCAGAACGCAGAAAACACAGATCCAACAAGATCAAACAAGATCAAACGAGATCATGGGTACATCATGGACGTTTTCTATAAAGTCTGTTATGGATATTCCATGATATTCTCTTAGCTCTTAGATTTCCAGATTAACAGACTTTTAAGTGATCCGCCCGCGTAAGGGGCTCCGTCCCAGGCGGAGCTGGTGAAGTCAGCCCTACAGCTGGAGGCTGAGATGCCGTTGATGGCGCAGCTGGGACAGCAGCAGAAGGCCCTGCTGATGCAGGAGACTGAGGCCTCGCTGGGCAAAAAGGTGGTCCTTTTGATCAAAGATATGGGGATGGGTCAATACCTATAAAAATACAATTTTTAGTGGGATGAACATCCATAAATCCCAGCTATTTTGATGTGAACTACAGGGGTACAAGGTTTTGACACACTGCCAGATCGCCAATGATCTACAGGTACCTTCTGCGAATCAAAAATGGCGATGATTGTTCCTGATTTTCACGTTACCTGCTGGCTGGTGGTTTCAAACATTGACGAACTCCATCATTTTCAAATATTTTCAAGATGGGCACATTGCACCACCAACCAGATATTATTATTAACCATCATTAACCATATAATAACCATATATTAACCATTATTAACAGTATATTGACCATTTGGCTCCGGGATGTCCCAGCATTTCTGACCGTCTCAGTTTCCAGATTTTCCAGGCCGAATGGGAGTTGATCTTCAGCCACGAGCACTTGGCTGTGATACCGCACGACTCTCGCATTGTTGGGGGCCTTGGACACGCCCGTTTAATGGATCAAAACGTCAGCCTTGCGACATCAGGTTTTGCGAAAAAACCCTGATTCACAAGGGCGTCATGGGCCCAGCTCTTCACCTTCGTTTGGGATCATCTATGAATTGGAGTAGTCTAGACCTTGGGTGCTTGTTGATCGTATCCTCCGATGTTGTGTGGATTTTTAAAGATATCATACATACGCTGCTCTGGGCCAAAAACTTTGTAAAGCTTCTCACTTTTTTGGTGGCATTGTTGTATCCACAAGTCAAGGGGTGCAAGTTTTTCAGAATGGGATTGTCCGCAACCAGACCAGCAAGTAAGTACTGGAAAAAGATGCATTTCAGTCTGTGAGTTCAAATCAGTAGAACACGAGCTGACTAGCTCCCTACATATTCCTACATCCATGGGACCTCCATTGAGATTAAAGGCGGCCTTGCTACAGGTGGCTTCCTTCCAGAAAAGCAAAGCGTGGCCGGTCACTGCCACCTGGACGACAGAGCTGACTGAGTCCGCAGAGACTCAGAAATACGTGCCCCAGCTATTCATAGCTCCAGCAGCAGAGATGTTGTACGCTTGTAGGCAGAGATGTAGGCAGTTGTGGGATGTTGTAGCTATTGGGAAGATTTGGAGAAGTACTTCACAATTTGTCTTCACAATTTGTTTACGCCAAACAAGTGCCACATGACGCAGTGAGTGTGAGAATTCCAGCAGCAGAAACCATCTAATGCATGTACCAGAAGATTGGCACAGCAATTTCCAACATACCAAGTTTCGGCCATCTCTAACATTCCCTTTGGCTTGCCCCAAAGATTGGGAGCGAGTCACGAAAGGTCATGACGCTGAAATCTTGCAACATAGTGGCAGTGGCAGCATTTATCATTTATGGTTATTCAAGGGTTTCTCTGAACGTAGGGTAACCCTCAAACCACTGATTCATCATTTTCCACCATCACATTGCCATTTGATGATGTTTTATGAACATTGACCGAGTCAGCAATTACGAGTCAGCAAACGAGAACGTCCGAGTCAGCAACTACACCAAGTTATTTTCAGCAAGCAAAAATTACCCAGTCTGCACATTTTTTTTTATTAAATGCCAGTTTAACTTCAACTTATTTTCATGAGGGATTACATAAATCCACCACCTCTTCTGGACAACATATTGATTGGCATAGTAATTTCAATCTCTTCTGATAAGGGATCAAAACTGCCACCCCGCCTGGACAATACATTGAACGGGATATTACCTTCAACGTATCTTTCTGGAAGATTAGATTCGCGACCCCCTGTGGACAATACATTGATTGGCAACTTCTTCTGATAAGAAATCAAAACTGCCACCTCCTCTGGACATTATTTCACGGGCTTAGATGTCAACCAAGAGGGCTGGGTCGGCAACCATGAGTCGGCAACTAAGAGATATGTCCAAGAGACACCTTTTAGAGATCTTGCATAGAGACCTTGCATAGAGATCTGTAGAAAGATAGATAGAAAAGAAAGATAGATGGATCGATCGATAGATAGATAAATAGGATAGAAAATGATAGAAATAAAAATAGAAATGGTTGCCGACTCAGACCCTGATCGATATTTGATAATTTGTGGGTATACTCCATTGTCAGACAAACCCTCATGTTTTCCAGGTGGTGATTTTCCCATGACCCTGCGATCTGCAATAGGTTGATGACGACCAAGTTCTACGAGCCCTTTCTGAAGCCGGTGTCGCCGGTGTAGACACTAGCAGCGTGCTATCTTGCTTGGAAAAGTCGTGCGGAAGCTGTGGTGTCTATGGATCATCGATGATCATCCCATATTCGTATACATTCGTGCTGACATTTCCGATGTTTTTCACTAATCCCATCCCAGCAATATATGAAACATGCCCATTCTATGGTCCCAAATAAGTCAAGTGTAAATCCCCTACAGGATGGGCCCGCCCAGTTATATGTTGGTTTATACACCATAAAAAAACATTAACTATAGTTATGTTATCTACCATAAACCATAGAATTCAGCCACTTCCAAATACTTACAAGGCAACTGAACGCGAGCTCGACGGCCCCATCCTGTACTAAACCAGGGTTTCTACCCTCTGGTAAGCGTTTACATAGCTATTGAAACTGGCCATTGAAATAGTTGATTTGCCTATTCAAAAAAATAAAAAGGGATAGAATGATGATTTTCCATGGTTTTTTGTAGCTTTACCAGAGGCTTTCTGGTGTGTTTCATTTTGGAAACCAAGGGACGATGCCTAAAAACCTGGGTGAAATTCCTGACAGATGCCGATGGCCCTGATGGCCCCGATGGCGGAGATGGCGCCACAACCTGCACGAAGTGCCTGGGCAATCTGAGGGTCGGAAACAGGGTATATCTCCTGGGTATACAAATATATATATATATATATATGTACATATACATAGAATGTATCTATAGATGGATAGATAGATAGATAGATAGATAGATAGATAGATAGATAGATAGATAGAAACATAATATGTATATATATATGTATATATATGCATGTATATATATATACATATATATATATATATGTATATATATATATGTATATATATATATGTATGTATATATATATATATGTGTATATATATATACATATATATACACACGGTATGTAGATATATGTACTCATATATACATATACACATATACATACATAATAAATATATATATATATATAGATACATGTATATACAAATGTAGGTGTGTATATATGTTGATAAGTATACACAGGCTTGTATATAATCTAAATATGTATTTAAATATATATTGTTTAAGTATGTAATTAAATATTCACATATATACGTATATATATATATATATGCATAATATTTAAATATAGATGTGTGTGTATATGTATATATATATATATTTATATTTATACATACATATATAGATATGTTGTACGTAAATCGTTATAATGCAGTTTCAAAATGCTTAAATTATTGGTCTATTTTAGTTATCATGTAGTTAGAATATAGCTATACTATAGTTTTAATGTAGTGTTCACATCGTTATAATGTAGTTATAACATATATAATATAGTTATAAGTTGTGACTATATTGATATTTAGTCATATCATGAAGACAATACAGTTGTTGTCTCTGCTGGTTGACAGTTGTGAAAGATGCTGCCTGTGTTGAAGATTTTGATTCCACCACGACTCCCAAAGAAATTGTCACCATGCTTGTAGCACCCAAGAAAAAAGGGACAGAAAACACATGTTGCTGCATGGAATTCCTACAACATCTATCTCTGGTGTGGGTGGGAGACATCCAGAAGTCCCATTTTTAGTCTCAGCCATGTCAGGTCTCGTTGGTCTCAGCGAAGGCGTTCATCTCTGAAAAAAAGATGCGCAGCTGCTGACTGGAGGATCCTGGACATGTGGGAAGGGGAGGCGTGTCAGAATTAAAAAAAAAAGGGCCGCTGGGGGACGAGGCCGAGAATCACAACAGTATGGCATTTGCTTCTCCGTCCATCCATGTATCCATCTATTCATCTATGCATCCGTCTATCTATGTATATTATCTACTAATTATCTACTAATTATCTACTAATGATCTACTAATGATCTACCTATCTACCTATCTATCTATCTATCCATCCATCTATCGATGAATCTATCTATCGATGAATCTTTCGATGAATCTATCTATCTATCTATCTATCTATCTTTCTAATCTAATCCAATCCAATCCAATCCAATCTAATCTAATCTATCTTATCTTATCTATCTATTTATCTATTTATTTATCTATCTATCTATCTACCTATCTATCTATCTACCTATCCTTAAATGAAATAACGAAATACAAACACACACACACACACATATATATATATATATGATATGTACGCACATCTATACACACATGTGTACATATAGACAGCAAAGCAAACAAGGGCAAGGTGTCCTGATTCAGGTGCGAATCCCTTTCACCTATCCGCTTGAAACCTTTGCTTCACGACCATTTCGTGCATGTTTTTTCTCAACCTCTCCCCTGATCTTCGATCTGTTTCGGAGCTCTTGTTTTCTCAATCTGGCGCTATCTTGGTGTCCTTTTTTCAATCCTACGTTTCACGCTGTGTCTTCAGGCCACACCCGATGACCATCTCTGTTCCGCCTTGCGACTCATCCCCGATGGTGCCTCACAACATCCACTTGCACCGACCAGATGGCTTTCCGTTTTGGCCAGCAGAGCTCTGTATCGTTCTATTTTACCATTTGGCTATGACTAACATAGCCATGGAAAATCTAATAGGTAAACCATCTATTTCTATGAGCCATTTTCCATGGCTATGTTAAATAATCAGATGGTCGTCCCCGTCTGACCGTCTGAGGCATGGAATCTATGACATGCAGCAGCTGCGCCCGTGTTTGGAGGCACAAAAGCAGCAATTTTGGCAATGGCTTTGATGAATTCTTGGCAATTTCATCAGACCTTTTGGATCCAACATGGATCAATACCCATGACGGATCCATGGTGCTGCTATATATGGTGCTCCATGGATCCCATCAATATACCCCCTTTATGTTAGCATATATACCAGCACCATGGATCCGTCATGGGATATGGATCACTCTACACAAAGTGCCCGTTACTGTTCAAACTGTTCGGGGGGAGCGTGACCTGCTCACGCTTTGAGACAGGCTTTAGGACTCCGAATCCATGATGAGGAGTGGATGGAGGCACTGAGACATACAGAATCGATCTTGGAACCCAGGACCTTTACTTGTGAAGTATTTGTGATAGAAAAAACCGAACACGATCTATTATCATGAAACTCCTTGCAGGCAGAGCAGCAATAGATTTTTCAAACATGGCCAGGGCCAGGGTATCCTGCCATCGAAGCGATGCAGGTGGAGCGGATCTTTATGCCTGTGTGCCGGGACAAGTGGGTGTCCCCAGAGTGGGGCTCCGGGGGCTCCAGTGGCTCCAGGGGGACCCCCCCTCTGATGGTAATGGCTTTGAAGAAGATGTCCATGCGATGGCCATATCCATGCCATGTCTTGCCCGGCACTGAATACATTGTGAATACATTGTGAATACATTGTGCTCAATCTGTACAGATATGTTTTACATTGTACCAGTGACAGTCGTGATGTGTCGTGATATTGCTTTAGGAAACCTCAGAAGAAGACCTTCACAAAATCGGTCACCAAGATCCTCTTTGAGCAGAAGGCACCGGCGCAGTAGTCACCTGCAAATGTAAATGACATGCAAATGAAAACTGAACTGTTTGGGCCGTGCTAGCTGCTAGCACATATGTTTTGCCTTTTTAGATTATCGAAATATATGGGAATGGGTCTGTCCAAAAATAGCTACCCACATCTACCAGCATCTACCTACAATTTCACCCTCAGATTCCCTTGGTTCCCGAGGGTTACCAAAAAAAATCATCCACGGCCAGATGCGCAAAGTGAAGGGACCTGAGAAGAGCCCTGTGCATGCGCCTGGCATCTTGGAATTTTCGATCATTTGGAATTGTAGCATTTGAAAAGTTGAAGATTCATCATACCATGGTCATACTATGTCATTCATGATTGACAACTGATTCATAACTTCATATAACATTTCATGCACATTCATAATCTATGAATATTTTTGATTCATCGTATATTCATCATTCGTCATGATCATATCATTTCATAACCTGGTTGGTGGTTTCAAACATTTTTTATTTTCCATTTCATATATAGGATGTCATCCTTCCCATTGACGAACTCCATCATTTTTCAAGATGTTTTTTGAACCACCAATTATTAACCATCATTAACCATATAATAACCATATATTAACCATATATTAACCATATATTAACCATATATTAACCATATATTAACCATATATTAACCATATATTAACCATATATTAATCATATAATAACCATATATTAACCATATATTAACCATATATTAACCATATATTAACCATATATTAACCATATATTATTCATATATTAACAGTATATTAACATATATTAACCATATCTTAACAGTATATTAACATATATTAACCATATATTAACAGTATATTAACAGTATATTAACCATATATTAACAGTATATTAACATATATTAACCATATATTAACCATATATTAACAGTATATTAACATATATTAACCATATATTAACAGTATATTAACATATATTAACCATATATTAACAGTATATTAACATATATTAACCATATATTAACAGTATATTAACATATATTAACCATATATTAACAGTATATTAACATATATTAACCATATATTAACAGTATATTAACATATATTAACCATATATTAACAGTATATTAACATATATTAACCATATCTTAACAGTATATTAACATATATTAACCATATATTAACCATATATTAACCATATATTAACCATATATTAACCATATATTAACCATATATTAACAGTATATTAACATATATTAACCATATTTTAACAGTATATTAACATATATTAACCATATATTAACAGTATATTAACAGTATATTAACCATATATTAACAGTATATTAACATATATTAACCATATATTAACAGTATATAAACATATATTAACCATATATTAACAGTATATTAACATATATTAACCATATATTAACAGTATATTAACCATATTTTAACCATATATTAACAGTATATTAACATATATTAACCATATCTTAACAGTATATTAACATATATTAACCATATATTAACAGTATATTAACCTATATTAACCATATATTAACAGTATATTAATTATATTAACCATATCTTAACAGTATATTAACATATATTAACCATATATTAACAGTATATTAACATATATTAACCATATATTAACAGTATATTAACATATATTAACCATATATTAACAGTATATTAACATATATTAACCATATATTAACAGTATATTAACATATATTACCATATATTAACAGTATATTAACATATATTAACCCATATGTCTAGCTCGTTTATTTCTTTTTCCAAGCGGAAGGTCTGACTTGACGGACTTCGAGGTCTTCCAGAAGAGTTTCTTTACCGTGCAGGTTAGTCGTGAGTCGTGGGCGCGGATGGATGGGGTGATAACCATAATATATTTTAATATACTGTTAATAATGGTTAATACATGGTTAATTCATGTTTAATATGGGAACTACCCGTGGTAAATTGGGGCTTTCCTAAATTGGAGCTACCCCGTTATCGATGGTTTATTGGATGGTTTATGTCATGGAAAATCCTATGAATGGATGATTAGGGGAAACCCCCTATGACTACCCCAGATGGATGGTTTATTTATGTTTATTTCATGGAAAATCCTATGAATGGATGATTAGGGGTAGCCCCACTTTGGAAGCCTCCAGATAGCCAGGAACTGTAGGAATTGCAGATGGCTCAGTGACCACGCTGACCACGTGCTGACCTGTGGTTGCAGGAGCACTTGACACGTCGTCGTCGACGCTTGGAACGGCAGCTTTGTGAGGATGCGCGAGCGGATGCGCTCGTGACGTGTTGAAAATCTGTCACTTAAATTGGCGCAATCCAATTTTGAAGTGTATTCTCAGTGTTATCATTGTCAATTATCAATATTACTTACTGAGTTATTGCATATTTTTGCATATTATTACTATCTGGTTGGTGGTTTCAAACATTTTTTATTTTCCATTTCATATATGGGATGTCATCCTTCCCATTGACGAACTCCATCATTTTTCAAGATGGTTTTTGAACCACCAACCAGATATCATTATTAACCATCATTAACCATATAACCACCATATATTAACCATATATTAACCATATATTAACCATATATTAACTATTAACCATATATTAACCATATATTAACTTGTATTAACCATATAATTTGGATCGCTGTTCTCATGGTGCTTTCAGTGTGCGGACCACACTGCCACTTTCCTTTCTTCACACGGTGAGATCTTTTTGGGGATCTGAGAGGAGCATCAGCTGACGCACGAGCAAGTGGATGAGTTCCGTTGGGGGCACCAAACAGCGGAGCAGATACGGCGGCAATGAATCATCCGAACTTTTTCCGTGGTAAAATGTGGCAGTTTTTTTTTTTGACACCTGTGAAATAATGATTTTTATGGTTGATTTTTCATTGCCCGTTTGAATTACTGGACGCTAATGATATAATATTATATATATATTATATGTATGTAATCATGCTAGAATATAATGTTGAAATTGCTACCAGTAAGGGTGTGGAGTCCAATTTTCTGTTCCATTGACTTTGGGATATTGTGGTATTGGTTCCTTTCAGGGCCTCTGCTACCGATGCTTGCCATTTGAAGGTGTCTTGTTTCGAGACTGAAACTCCAAGAACAAGGACTTGACAGGGAGTTCAAGCAGAAATTGCAGGGACGATCATTGTAAAGTCAATGCGGGGGTCAAATTGTGAAGGGATTGAATTCATTCTGTTTCTTTCATGGTCAGATCCCATTGCACGTGGCTTTCCAGACAGCACGGGCTGTTTCCGGGCTGTTTCCAGGCTGTTTCAGTGGCCATGCCGGGCTTTGGGACTCTAAGGTTCTGATCTCGTGTCGTTGGATTTCCTGTTCCGAAGGCGGAAGGGCACCATATCGAAATCGACGGGAAGCAGGAAATCACTGTGAGTTACCCTCTGGTAAACCAGCTATTGAAAATGGCCCATTTATAGTGGATTTACCCATTAAACATGGTGATTTTCCATAGTTATGTTAGTTTACCAGAGGGTAACCTGCTTTATGATGAACTCCCAAATAAGAGAAACGGTTAAAGAGCATGAAGTTTGATCACCAAAACCGACTCACAAAACATGGGTATCTCCTCACGATTCGTGGGAGATCCAACAATAACTAAAAGAGCCCAAAGGGGGATTCATATCACGTGATGCTGCTTAAGGATGCAGAACACATGCAGAATTTCTGATTTTTTTCATCCCCAAAGTGTGAAAAGTTGAGCCAAAAATCATGGGAAAAGTTGAGCCAGGGGTCGCCAGGTTTGATCGTCACCGGCGGAAAAAACTCACCGAGAATGAGGCGACGTTGGATCCTGAAAAGGATCCTGTTGGATCCTGCCACCTGGAACCCAGATTCTGAACATGGGATATACATCCTTAAATGGCCTTAAATGGCCATATCTGGCCATGGCCATTTCAATGAGAAAAACATGGAAAAACTGATGAACCAGGGAATTTTCCGGGGTACCGACTCTGGTAAACGTTGACAAAAAGCTATTGAAAATGTTCATTTATAGTTGATTTGCCCATTAAACATGATGATTTTCCATAGTTATGTTAGTTTACCGGACGGTACTCCAAGTTTTCAGAGAAAGCTTCGAGACTGTTTACAGTGCTGACCTCGATCTCTCGTTTCTGCTGCTAATACAAGACATTTGTGCGAGCAAGTGCCCTGCCTTTCTGTGCTACTGCAATTCGATGCAATTGGCATCTTGTGTCGTAGAAAGACTTAGAGTTACAGGAAGCCCCTCACCTATTTCCAGTGAACAAGATTTCAACATATTTCAACATGTGGAAAGTCAGCCTATCGGGCGTATCGTTGTTCCCTTTGTGTGTCCAAGGACCTTTGTCGCCAGGTATTGAACCTGCTGGTGGCCTGTGGTGCTGACTCCCGGTTGTTACGGTCAGACTTCATGTGGGCAGCCTTGGAGACTGGTTCTGGCGGGCCACGGTGGGCCGCGGGGAAAGCTCTTGGGAATTGCGGTGGTTCCTCAAAAGCCTTTCGAGTTTCATAGATCCCAATATGTAATAGGTTTCAGATGGTTTCAGTTTCACCTGGATGCACCTGGCAAGCCAGCGACCCGTGCTTCAAAGGTGAATGCATCTTGGTGCACTGAAGATTTTCTGCCGACCATTTCTGGCTGAAGATTTAGGATCTAGACCCATCAAAGGGCGCTCGATGCACTTCTAGAGTTATGAAATTAAGCTTTAACTCCCACCCCAGCCGGCAATCCCAGCTGCAACCACAACCACAACCAGGAACCACAACCACAACCATCACCATCACCATCACCATCACAATCATTCATATTCATATTCATATCCGCATTCGCATTCAGATTCAGATTCAGACTCAGAGTCAGATTCACATTCACCTTGACCATGACCACCACCACCACCACCACCACCACCATCATCATCACCACCATCACCGTCACCGTCACCGTCACCGTGACCATCACCACCACCACCACCACCAGCATCATCATCATCATCATCATCATGATGTTAACTTTATCCCTAAGTACTGCAGACACAGGCATGCAAACACTTCACGCACACGCACTGCATCAAAAAAACACCACAAAAGCAACACAACCAAAAAATATGAAACAACACTTGCCATCATCATCCACCACCCAGATATATCTATTTGCACTTTACCTGCACTTTACCCACCCATGGTGTGGGCCATGCCGACGCTGGCTGTGATCACTGTAGCCCACGGCTTGCAGCGCCGTCGACGACGCGGAGCCCGCGGACCCAGCGCGAGCTGGGTATTCTGCGAAGAAACAACGCTACCGAGGTGGAACATGAGGGTTTCCATAAATGGTGGTACCCCAAAGTGTATGGTTTATGGTTGGAAAATCCTATTAACATGGAATAAAATGGATGATTTGGGGCACCCCCATTTTAGGAAAGCTCCACATGGTGGAATACGTGCCCAAGTGGTGCTTCTCAAAGGGGAACTATAGTCACCTATAGTCTGTAGATGGGGAAAAACAACTCTTGGAGCATTCTTACACCATCACACGGCCAAGATGATGTAGGTGTGGGGGATACACATCAATGTGGTGAACAATGGTGAACATGTTCGATTAGGAGGCTGTCAAGTGCGATTTACTGTATTGGAAGGGATGCATATCTCTTTCAGAGAAGATGATGGTTGTGAAATACACATGTTTTGCATTCTATACCCTCTGGTAAACTAACATGACTATGGAAAATCACCATTTTAAATGGGTAAATCCACTATAAATCACCATTTTCAATAGCTATGTCAGTTTACCAGAGGGTACCTAGGGTGCATCCACACTATGTCAACACTTTTCAACCGCATACCTTCAATTGGTGGGCTGAGTACACCAATTACTCCCGTTTTGGAGGGATTTCAGCGGATGTCTTGATCGCCCATGAGAAATTGGGGTGACTGTGTTCAGAGTTACCCTCTGATTATAACTAACATAGCCATGGAAAATGGCCCATTTATAGATGATTTTCCCATTAAAACCTCCATTTATAAGGGATTTTCCATGGCTATGTTAAATAACCAGATGGTAAATGGATTCCTAGATGTTACGAGATATTCTTCAGATTAAGCAATTGGATTGTCAATGGAATAGCAATGCACTGACAAAGCTTCCATGCCTCAAGAGACAAGGCCACTACCTCCATACTTGTAATTGCATACATATATTCTTACACGAACAATTAGGAACGTACGCTGGCCACTTTTCTGTCACCCCTCTTAAGCGCAAACCACTTGACATTATATGCATATATTGATATACATACAGATAGTTTTGTTAATCTAGATTCTCGATTGCTGAACCAACCACCATTCATAATGTTTCAAGAAAATCACTTCATACATCGCAAGAAGCCGCAACTTGGGGTGTTGACATCCACCTTGAGCATTTTGCTTTGCAGTTGGATGAAAGAACCGCCGGCAAAAGATCCTAGCCGCAAGGCCGGGGTAGAATTTTGGGTGTCCTGTTGATGTGCGAAGACTGCGAAGAAACAGATATCAATGATATCAATGATATATCAATGATATATCAATGATATATCAATGATATATCAATGATATATCAATGATATATCAATGATATATCATATCATCTATAGATCTAGTTCATGCTGCATATCATGCTGCATATCGCATTTTTCTCGACTCGACTCACCCAGATCTGGCAGGAAAAGATCCAGACCTACGAAGCCGCGCAGGTGTCTCCTGCGGCCCTCAGCCACAACTTGGCGCTGGTGAAGTGCAAGAGCAGTACCACCAGGCTATGGCACTCCGGTTTTTTTCAACAGCTCTGGAGAAATCACCATTTTGAATAGGTTTGCTCATGGTTTGTAGCATCTATAGATGGCCCATTCTGTTTCTTTTTGCTTTGGAACATGGCTTAAACATGACTTTCCATATAATTCTTGGGAATGTCATTGGATCATAATCATCATAGTCCCAACTGTTACTCACTCCATCATTTTTCAGAGGGGTAGGGCGAAAAACCACCAACCAGGAACACTTATGGAACATCACCAGAGGATGGTGTCCAATACCAGAGCTCCACGGGAATTTCTGGATCTCTGTCCAACAATTCCCAGCCCCGAGGTTGGTGTCCTACAATCTCCACTTTCACCGCGACAGCCAGATGAAGCCGCCCTTGCCTCAGTGGTTTTCCTCAGTGAACAAGATGTTTTTTGGGCCAAAGTCAGGTGAACTAACCCATCAAACATGTTTGAACATCGCAAGGTCAATGGCAGATCCAAAATCATCCAGAATCCATAAAGTATCAGAACAAGGTCAGAATTTAAGGGAGAACCATCTCAAACATACTGCTGATAGTCATGTCCAACGGAGATCGCTGCGCATCGCATTGCCCCACGATGTCGTCAGAGGAATCTCAAGCGGGTTCTGGACGTTCTAAAGGTGCTGGATGCAGATGTTGTTGCGCTGCAGGCAAGATCTTTAGATCAGAAGATATCAGTAGATAATGTCAACCCCGGATTAATAAACCATGGTTTATTAATTAGGGGGGTACTCCTCCAATAGTCATAATCTAATACTTGAATGGTACCCTCCCAATTAAACAGCATAGGGGTTTATTAATCCAGGGTTGACATTATACTGTTCGGCATTGGACAATCTTTATGGCAAAAGATGTCGAAGCTGCTTGATATAAGGTTTGGCAAATCCCTAAGGATCCATGTATGGTATTATATATATGCTAACATTTGGGGTATATTGATGGTAAATGTTACCATATATAGCATACATGGATCCTATGGGAACGGGTAGCTCGCAGCTGAACATACCAGATTGCCTATGATTGCTGGCAGGAGGCTGGGCTGCCACCGGGGCTTGAGAAAGGCGGCTTTAAGTGCGGAGAGTGCGGATCTGAGATTGTGGAATTGGCCACATGCTTCGGTGGTTTCGCACATGGATCTATGGGGATCCGTGATTCATATCATAAATTCATATCATAAAAAGGCATGTCATTGAAAATCACAGTTTTAAACTTCTGTGAATACAAAAAAGCGTCCCAGGGATTCATTATAATCCCATAGGATCCATGGTGCTGCTATATATGGTAACATTTACCATCAATATACCCCAAATATCCCCAGTCATGTTAGCATATATACCAGCACCATGGATCCTATGGGAATTATGGATATGATATGATTGCTATGATTTGATGCACCATTTTTTGCACCATTCACTGCTTTTTCACATCCGCTTCACAAAAAGTGTTTCCATCTCCAGCAAGATGCACATCGTGAGGTTTTTCACATCGTGAGGTCGGATCAGAATGCGGAGCTGTTGAAGTCTGCAGATGTTTCTGGCAATGTGGAAGCACTTACAAGGCGCAACTCACAGCTTGTTGAGGGTCGTTGAAGGATTGCTGAAGAGGCTTGGTTCTGCAACAGGCTGAACATACAGCGACAGCGTACACAGGTCGAAAAACTGCAAAGCATGTCCTACGAAGCTTGTTAGAAGTGATCCTTGAAGTCGGGCACAATGGTTGCATGTATAATAGATTATAATGTATATATATTATGTATACATATATATATATATATATATGTGTGTGTCCAGACCCTGACTGCGCCGTTATACCTTCATATCTCCAAGTTTACTGTTTTGGTTCTTCAAATTGTCGTTTTCTATGTGTCCTGAGGCAGATGTTCCAAGAGACTCAACAAGAGGTCGTGGGATCTGGATCAACTGAGCATGAGGGCAGTCAGCTCTTGGAGGGACTGCGTCAACTGGGATACACGTACTGCAACCTTGACGCAGGGCATGGACAGGACGCCAATGATACAGATGCTTTACACTTTACACTTATAGGAAGAGACAATTTGTGGTGTATTGTTATTATTCCTATAATTTCCTTTATATATAGTTCTATATGATTGTTTTATTGTTATCGTTGTAATAATTCATTTTGAGAATGCCTGTGAACCAAAGTTGGTGCCAGCAACGTGAGCATGACAGGGCAAGGGAACATATTTGCTATGGATCTACGCAGCTCGCAATAAATAGAACAGTCATGTTGAGCCGAGTCATTTGAGATGCCGACAGCTGGCAGTCAGAGTGAGGCATCTACTCACCTGGTTTCTACAGTGGTGTCTTGGCATATTCTCACAGCATTCTGGAGTCCAACTAAACACATTTTTGTTGAACTGCTGACTTCTTTGCATTTGCTATTGACCTTTCGTCATTTTATGTCATTTTCCCATATTTTCCCATGGCGTTTGACCAGGATTGTCCCCATAGCGTAACCTCCAAAACCTGAGGCGGCGGACAGTGTTTTTGTGGCAACATCGTGGCAAGCCGACATCCCATGACAGGTGAAGCGGTGATCTTAGACAGGTGCGGCTCGGTCGGCATGGTGAAAAGTTGGCTAAAAAGTTGGCCGCCATATCTCTGAGGATGGTCGTCCACCCATGAAAATTGTGAGTCATATGATGAACATTTATGAACTATATTGCCATATATTGCCATGATTTGACAATACATGTTCATCATCGGTTGAGGAATCCCATTCACAATGCTGGGAGGATTCTTATTTTGTGTAATGTCAACCCCGGATTAATAAACCATGGTTTATTAATTAGGGGGGTACTCCTCCAATAGTCATGTCATCTACTTAAATGGTACCCCCCCAATTTTTCACAGCCCAGGGGTTTATTAATCCAGGGTGGACATTAATGGATTTCCATATATTTCTTCATCCCATGTCGTCCCATGGCACGGACACGACGGACACGTTGGACAGGTTGGACACGTCGCCAGGAATCGTTTCAATGAAGAGCGCAGCGCAGCAGTGGCCACCTTCCATGAGATCGCCCAGGAGATGCGCCACTTGTGGGTCCTCAAGGTGATCCTGAAATTCACCTTGGTCAGTTCGTGCATTTTTCGCTATAGCTATTGCCTCTTTGTTCTCTCTTGACTTCTGTGGGATTGGACAGGTTTATTTCCCATGACGGATCCATGGTGCTGGTATATTAATGCTAACATGACTGGGGTATTTTGATGGTAAATGTTACCATATATAGCATACATGGATCCTATGGGTTTAGAACCATGAGATCAAATAGCCATGATGCCCTCGACGGCGAAGCGGGTCAAAAAAATGCAGGAACCGGTCACTGTGGTGTCCACACATCTGGATGTTTGGGCCGAAATGAGGCGGGCATGGCATGGCATGGTTACTCGAAGAGACCACAGAAACAGTCATCCGATCGAAAGCCGACTTCAAATTTATCAAGCGATTTGGGATTTTCGAGACATTCTTTTCAGTTTCAACATTTTGTGTATTTTTTTCAGAAATTTTCTCCCAGATTTTTCTCAGCTCGGTCTTTTCGCTCGTGTTTTTTGTTGGTTTTTTCAGGGGATTCTTCGGCATGGCGGAGGGTGAAGCCATCCGGCTGCTGGAGTTCGAAGCCCTGCACCAAGCCCTGCGGTCTGGTGGGACGTCTGGTGGGACGTCTGGTGGCCATGTGGCCATCCTGGGGGATTTCAATACGGCCTCGCAGAGCAGCGCGACCCGGCCCAAATTTGGCTGAAATTTTGGGATCCTGTGCAGATGATGGGAATTGAAGATGGGAATTTTTCAGATGGGATTATGATGGGATTAATGATATCTACATATATACGTATATATATATATATATATGAGCAACCGTAAAAACCCTGGCAATACTAAATATGTATTCGACGGACATTGGTTTATGGAAATTGATGGAAATTGTTAAAAACACGAGGTAAGCGATGGGACCTTCCCAAATTAGCGATACCCCTTTTCAAGGTTATGTCATCATATTTCTCTAATATCCACATTAGCGATACCCAAATATCACATATTAGACATATTATTCATAGTTCATCACAAATATATATATATATATAAATGCAGCAGTTTCCTGCAAGCGATACCCCCCAAGTTTACCATATATCATTATTGTACAAACGTGTGGTAAGCGATGGGACCTTCCCAAATTTGTGGATGTCCTTTCCGTGAACCTAGGGTTTTCACAATCGCTCATATATATAATATTATATATATATAATATAAGAAATATATATATATATCTCAAACAAAGATAATAAGGTATTTTTGTCAAATATAAAAGAGAAATCAAAGAGATTCCAAGATCCAATGGAATTTCCCATCTTCCAGGGTGGCTGAGGTGTTGTTGAGCCAGGAACACCAACGACTGGCAGATCTATTGGATAACCTGAGCCTTCAAAGAGATCCCCAGGTCCTGGGAACACATGAGAAAACAACTCGGATGCTTTTAGCGTTGCTAAAAGTGGCTAGTTGCAGCATTTTTTCCATAGATTTTGAATCATTTTGATACCGTTAAAACACAACTTGGACCAATTTGGAGCTTGCAAACTATATGGGATGTCTATCCAACGGCAGGAATTCTTTGAGTAACAGCCCGAGAAAGCTTGCTACAGTTGTGGCAGCCACTGATCAAGGAAGGAGATACACTTCGTCCCATGTCTTACTGATAGTTTTTACATGCTTTTATGCTAAATTTCTGCATTCCCCGGCAATGAAAGACTTGGCAAAGACTTGGCAGGCGCTCAGACATTTCCTGCCACGCAGCTCCCCTCGGCTGCCACAGGCTTTGGCGGGCTGGTTTTGGGTGTTTTCTCATGGTAACGCCGCATGTAGCCATCATGTAGCAGTGTTTCTTTTTAAACATCTGAATATGAAATGATTGAAATGGGACAGGGAAATGCTTCAACATCTTCAACTCCAGTATGTTCATATTGGACCTTGTGGAATGGAAAGATGTCTGCCTTTTGCTGGCGATTTATGTGGCTCCTGTGAGCTGGTTTCAGTGGCATGCCCTGTGTTCGTTTCTGCGTTCTGGAGATTGGCGTTGGCCGAACAGTTCTCTATTCGGATATCAACATCACAACATATTCCTCGTTATTCCTACACACTCCTGCGACTGTAGATACCATATGTTGTCAGTTCATGTCAATTCCAGATCAAATTCATGCTGTCGTGCACTTGAATTTGCAGCTCAGTAGCTTACAAAGTTTGATTGTCAATGATTGTCACTTCTCATAGCTTCAGGCTTCAGGTTTTTTCAGGTCTCAACATGTCTCGTTGGCACAGGAAATGACCGCGTTGGGCTTTGCAGAGAAGCTGGGCTACAGGCGTGGGATAAGTGGTGGCATGTTGTGGCTTGAGGCTGAAGAGCCACCATACTTATAAAGAATCTTAAAGAACCAATTGATGAATTGGGCTCTTATTTTTTTTGGTTGCAGGAGTATTCGCATCTCATACTGACCCCATCGACTTAATCTTGACTGGAACAGTTGGGAGGAGCGCCGCAAAGCTGTCCCAACTAGGGAAACCGGAGAAACAAATTTTAGACACATTTATATATATATATATAGATAATTATGTATTTAACTCCTTATACATGTACACATGTGTATATATATAATATATATATATAATATATATATAATATATATATAATATATATATATGGATACCAAATTTGTGAAGACAGGATACCGGGAAAAGTTTGCTGAAGGCATGCCTGGCAAGAGCTTCCTCAACCCATGGCACCCTATTACAGCCAGGAGCTTGGCCACTTCGCCACGGGATTGTGTAGGAGATGCGTACAGATTTTGAAGTCGTTTCGTGCATGCATGATAGATATTATATATATACACTATACACGTGATGTATATCTATATACATGACTTGTGTATATATATATATATATATACACATTATATATAAACATGATATATATATATATATATAAACACTATATATAAACATTATATATAAACACTATATATATATATATATACACATACATGCTATATATATATATATATGTATGTATGTATGTATGTATATATATATATATGTATGTATATATATATATGTATATGTATATATATAATATTGATATGTATGTATATATATATATATGTTTCTCATCTAATTCTGTAGTGTAGAACTATGTAATAAGTGTGGATGCAATCAGTACATGGTATGTACATCTAGGTGCGCGACCCCTCAACCACCCGTAACCACCCCCTGAAAAAAATGTTCCATGTGCAGTCATGCAAACCATGGCATTTCCCATACAAGACAGCTTTCTATAAGGTCCAAGCACATACTGTTATATCAAATAATAATGTATATACAGCTTTCTACAAGGTCCAAGCACATACTGTTATATCAAATAATAATGTATATATACATTATTATTTGATAAAACAGTATGTGCTTGGACCTTATAGAAAGCAGTCTTGTATTATAGTATGTTTATATATATATATATCATATATCATATATCTCTACATACCATGCCATGCCATGCCATGCCATACCATACATACCATGATATAGCATTTTGTTCTGGATTTGGTTTTCTGCAATCTAATTTCTGGTTTCCGCAGTAGAGTGAGGATGACCAGTGCTGTACTGTAACTCCTGGTTGCACAGTAGAGTGACGATGACCACTTCGGGTAGCACAGAAGGCAAGCAGGCCGACAATAATCTATCACTAATGCGGATCTTTTGCATTCTAGCTGCCATTTGCTCATCGTGGCTGCTGTTGTGGCATCATGTGTGTTTGCGCTTGTATGTGAATTTTTGCTTGCTGTCGGTGTTGTTATCGGTGTTGTTGTCGTGGCTGTAGTGGTGGTGGTGGCTGTGGTGGTGGTGGTGATGATGACCAGGATGACCAGGATGACGATGATGATGTTGATGATGATGTTCCCGTGATTGCAGGAGAGCAGGGTGGCAATATGGGCGGGTATCTGCATGTGCAGATATATTACTGTACATATGCTACACATACATTACTTAAATTATCTACATGTACATATATATATAATATAATATATATTATATAGATGTACATATACATATATTTTGTACATATAAGATGCATTACAGATTAACCAACGTACGTTGGGTACACAGATGGGCTGCCAACAGCTCCATGTTCTGAGGTCATTGGAGCGGACAGCTGATCGATCACTGCTTGCTGCCACCTGGCAACCACCTGTGCATAGTATTAATGGTGGTTAATGGTGGTTAATGGTGGTTAATGGTGGTTAATGGTGGTTAATGGTGGTTAATGGTGGTTAATGGTGGTTAATATTCATAATAACATATACATATGTTGATGATATTGATACATACATACATACATATATATATATGATGATATTGATGACTTGATATTGATACATATATATATATATATATTGTGTATATATATATATATACACATAATATATAGATACCTCTTGACACGTCTTGACATCGTGACATCTCCTTGCTGTCTCTCTTAACATTTCTTCTTGACAGCTCCTTCTCATGTAAGCTCCTTCTCATGTAAGCTCTTTCTCATGGCTCTACATCGTGACATCTCTTGTCAGCCCTTTCTCTCCGCATTTTCCAGCTCTTGCAATTCCTTGCTCTTGACTTGACAACACTTTCGCTTAGCATGCTACTTGGCACAGAACTTTCCCTTGGTGCGGAGCCACCAGTAGCGCACGTCGGACCGAGCGGCCAGAACCGCATCTTGGTGTGTTGTAAAAAATCTTGGTGTGTTTGGAAAAATGCAAATCCCAAAATTTGTCAAAACATCGCCAAACAGAAGCATTACGCAGCAATTCGCTTGGGCTGTTTGCTCAACATTGGATTGCAAGACGCAGACCACTCCACGCTCCACTCCGCTTCAGTCCGCTCCACTTACTCTTCCCTACCCCACTCTACTCTGTCAACATGAAAGTTTCTCTCCTACAAAGTGAAGGACGCAACAACGGCTTGAGACTGAGGAAGTCCAATGGCTCCAAGTGCCTTGGCAGTTGCTGTTTTTTAGCCACAAATCACGTCGAAAAATTGCTGCATCCAATATTGGTCCCATTGTTAAACCAGCCAGCTGGCTGGCCCCTGAGGAAACCGCGGGTGGCTTTTGTGGGGGTCTACCACAGCGATGCGAGTGACCACTTGCCACTAGTGATTGATCTTGAGTTTTGATGCGGCAAACTTCTGCAGAACAGCAGAGATATTAGATATATCCTAATATCAGCCAAAATTGGCGTACATGTTCGAAAGTTGTGCGGCTATGCAAGCCCTCATGGAAAGTTCACTGAAACCATGACAAGTTCAGATGAAGGAAGAACGGGTCTGACACTTCCGGCCTCCTGAATAATTCAAGCGTCAAATAGAAATATTCGGGCCTCCAGAGCAGTTGAGTCTCCCAGTTCAGATTTCCAAAGATGAATGAGAACGGGGTGACTTCGTTTGAAGAGTTGGGAAGCTGCAAAGAAGGCAGGCATTGATTGATTGAAGATGAAAAAGGCTTGGTGCCAGTGCCCAGTCCTCGTCGCTGTGTAGATCTGTGCGCTCTGGTGTAGGAATCAGCTGCCTGTTTGAGCTGCCTGAAATTTGGTCGAAGCCTTTGGTGTCAAATGTGTCGACGAGCGCAGTCCAAATCGATGCAAGGCAATAGAAATTTCATCAAATTTCAACAAGCCTTGGCCACCTCGGCATATATTTTGAAAGACAACGGAAAACGGATCCGTTTTTGTCATGTTTTGAAGCAACTCCCGTCCGTCACTACTCCGGTACTCCTTGCCAGTGCCAGTGCCATGGATGGGAAGGTTGCTGCCCAGCAGCCCATTGACAAGCTGAACGGTGCCGGCAATGGTCGGGCGATCCCAGCAGCTTTGCTTCGATGGTCGGGTTGTCATTCTCAATGGGTGGATCAATCTACATACGGTCATAACCCATAGGATCCATGGTGCTACTATATATGGTAACATTTATCATCAATATACCCCACATATCCCCAGTCATGTTAGCATATATACCAGCACCATGGATCCGTCATGGGTAAGGTGTTGCGGACTGGTCAGCGGGGTCAACGGAATAAGCCAGTGATTCTTCAGTCAGCTGTTTTTCACCTCTTATTCACCAGCTCTCGGAGACGATCCACACTTATTCAGCCAGTTTTGGAAACTGATGGAAATTGCTTATTTGTGTTTTCCCACCAGATTCTGTCTTTACAATTCGACTACTCCAGGTCTGTTGGTACAAAGTTTGACCAACAAAAAACGATTACCCTCTGGTAAACGTTTACATAGCTATGGAAAATCACCATTTTTAATGGGTAAATCAACTATAGATGGCCATTTCCAATAGCTACGTTAGTCATTACCAGAGGGTACTACTCCCTGGACATTTAATGCGCAAGACAAAGTTGGATGGTTTCCTTGCCTTTGTCCATGATTTTGGAACGGGGGTCTGGAGTCAAAATCGTGGCATGATGTTCCCGGTTCCTGCAATGATTTTTAGGTCCAAAAACATGATAAAAACGTCAATGTTTGAGGGTTGGGGACTTCGAAAAATTTAAAATAACAAAGTTTTTGAAGATTGTTTTTTGTTAAGACAGAAGTGGTTTCCTGTGTATGCCTCCTAACCTGATGCTTAAAACTAAATGTCATGTGCATCTGGAATGTTCCATGGCAACTTGGTGTAGACCAAAAGGAGTTGTAGACGCCGCGCCGCGGCTTATTCAAAAATGATGGATCTTGCCCCACCGAAGTTAAAACCACCAAACACCACAATAGGTCCTTATATTATTTCCTTCAATTTTTGTGGGCATCATGTTTCCTGGCCAAAAAACCGTACCATGGTCAGTTTTCAATTATTCGTCTAAGACACTCTTTGTTATTTTCGGATGCTCCAAAAAGTGGTCGTTTTCCAATGGAATCTCCGCGCCTTTCATGTCTCTGTTCGCCGTTTCAAACTTGTCCGTTTTCGTTCAATGTTTTTTCCAAGGATTTAATCCATCAGTTTCAGATGATTAGATGATTAGATGATGTAACTAAAGACGATGGACTAAAACATGGTAAGAATATAAGATGTGTAAGCATATGATTAGTATGGTTACACATCTTTAGATATCTTTAGTATGGTTACTAATCATCTAATACATGTTTTAAGTAAAACGAAGACTCTTCTTGAACACATTCCATGACTTTTCGGATCCACACATACTGAAATGTTCACGAAGGATGAATGTTGGCAACGAGTCCTGGGAAATCTGGAAGCAATTGAACTCTCCGGATGTGCTGTGACGTGCCAACGAAGCTCGGCACAACCCTGGGAGCCCTGGGAACCTTGGGGTGAGACCATTGCAACACAGGGATGATGGTTGAGCTTGGTTTTTCGCTTGTGCCTCGGAGATTCTGTAGATTTCTGCCGCAAAGTCTCAAAATCTCGGAATGTCAAGAGCTTGTACCCATAGGATCCATGGTGCTGCTATATATGGTAACATTTATCATCAATATACCCCTTAAATATCCCCAGTCATGTTAGCATATATACCAGCACCATGGATCCGTCATGGGGTATCAACTTAGAGGGACGCATGAGATGCTGGCTGCACCTCAGCTACAGATACTCCATGTAGAATATTGTAAGCGCACAATCTATCGAAACGGGCGTTGATATCAGTTGACAACCGGAAAGCAAGTTGTGAAAACCATTCGTTGCCCTTGGGCAAATTTGGCACTGAGGAATCAACAGACTAGCAGACCATCCGGAACTCTGGCAAACTTTGCTGAGAACGGACTTCTGTGCACAGGGCTCAGAGCGCAAAAAAAGAGCTCAGACAGTGCTAGGATGAACTGGCTGAGCAAATGTCATGAATTTTCAGCCATCTAATATTGACAGAAGTCACACATCTAAGACTTTGAGAGAATCAAGTGGAAACATGTTCAGCACTTTGGTGGTGCTTCCACCAATTGGGTCCCCCTTAAAATCTGCAGGCTTCCATCACCCATCGCGCCATGCTCTTGGCGTGGATGGCGATGCATCACAACTTCCACCCACGACAGCGCCCAGCTCAGGGATTGGTGGAGGGTTGGTGGATGGTTGGTGGTTGTCCTCTAGAGGAATCAATCCATGGAAATCAATGAAAATCATTGGAAATCAATGAAAATCATTGGAAATCAATGAAAATCATTGGAAATCATTGGAAATCATTGCATAATCAAGCATCCACCAAGGTAATTAATGGTGATTATCAAGCATGGAAATTTGCTGGAAATCTGCCAATCCACCATTGATCGATGATTGATTGATGATTTTTGTCAGCGAACTGATGAACCTCCATGACTTTTTCGAGGATTTTGAGTTGCCATGTTTGATTAGTGAAGGGATGTGAAGGGCAATTTCAGTTGGTTCAATGGGAAAACCTGAGTTGAGTCATTAATGTGAGAGGACTGATATGTACAGATTATGCCGGGGAACCGCAGGTTCATATTTTTCTTTGAAAATAGTCGGCAACACCCTGAGGGACCTTAGGAACACCCATGGTGAAGCAAATTATTACAAATTTCTGTTAAACCAATGGTGAGTTTTTTGTCATTTTTGTTGACATTCAAATTGGTCAAAGTCTTTCCAGCCTTTGCCTGCTGAAAAATCTAATCTTTTCATCTTTTCGGCGCTGATGACAGAAGGCTTTACATTTTCAAGCGCCGCGAGCATTTGTTGGACTTGGAGATTGCACGGGCGGATTTGCATCAGCGCTGCCAACAAGCCAAAGAGTTGGAGAGAAAGCAACGGTGTTTGAGAGCGCCTTGGAAGCTACATGATTTGTTGGCTTTGTTGGCCATGGTAGCTGTGGCACACTGTGGTAGCTGTTGCACAAAGGCACTGGAAAAAAGTACTCAATCCACACTTTTTGTGCTTTCTCCATTGATATCCGGATTGTGCAAGAACGGTTTCACAGGATAGATTTGTTCTCGTGACATTCCAAACAAAGCAAGAGACACTTTTGGGTGAAGAACTCTAGGATCAGAAACACTGGCTCTACCTACAAAAAGACATCATCCACCCGTCGTGTCACTTCTTTGGTAATGCCCATGTGGCTGCTGACCCCAACTAACCACGATGCCCAGTAGATCATCATCAGTTTCCCAGTGCCATGCAGCCAAGGCTTTGAACTACTTCCTAGTGAGGGTGGCCCATTGCTTGCTTTGTATCACCTTGCTTCTTGATCAAAGTTTATGAAAACCCATCCTTAAACTGGAGGCAAACATGATACTCTACACGCACATATATATATATATGTATATCGATCATATAATTTGATATTATACATGTACTGGGATGCACCACCCAAAGAAGGCCAGTTTAATACATGCCGTACATCTACTTTGTGTAATTACACGCCCCTTCTCGTGCGGTAGATGATGGTAGATGCAAGCCCCACTTCACCAAGAGGCCTAGAGCAACCCGGCCAATGGCATTAGGCTTGCGACCAGCATCCTCTTGTGGTTGCAGCTCAAGGATGCGGTGGAAATCTCGTGCAGATCTCAGCTGAGCTGGCACCTGCTAGACACCCGCAAGCCGCGCTTGCTCTAAGCAAAAACACGTAACACAACAGACATATGATTCTAAATATATATATATATATACATGAATATAGATATATACAGTGTAGATATTCTCTATATGTATTATCGATGTGTACACAACATACATATACATACAATTATATATATACCTATATATATATATATATATACATATCCATATCATATGATTATCATATGTATGATTTGAACATGTTGGAAAGGTCCGGTCTCTTTTTATGGTCTCTTTTAAACTTTAGCTTGCTTTTTTTCGGATTCGAGCCCTTCTCTCGAAAAGTCACCATCGCAACGCAGGTACTACGTGGTCTTCTCTCCACTCTTTGGTTTCGAGGTCTTTTTTCTCATCGGATCCTGCATCACGTTCACCATCTACTTTCAACGCAGCAGTGCTGGTTGGACGTTTTATTGGAATCGCCTTCAAGGTACCGTGAGATGGTTGCTTGGATGGTTAGTCGGACGATGGGAAAGATGACCCGGTTAAGGACGATGGGAAAGATGATGAAAGATGCTGATGCTTTGTTGATGCTTTAAGTTGATGGGTCTGAGAATGTATGTGAGAAACAGTGTCCCATAAAGTACAGGTATTGCTTGCGACGGCTAAGAGACGTGACCAAAAATGTCGGATATCAGAACGAATCTGGGTGATCCACAAATATTTGACACATATCATTCGTTCAACTGATGTTTTTCAAGACATTTCAACTCTGCCAGTTGTCTCTTGGATTCTCTTGGATTGTCTTGGTATCTTGGGCGCTTTTGCCAAGTCTGAAAAAACAACTGTCGACTCGTAGGCCCTTCTGAGATCTTCTGAGAGGTCACCAGCACATGTCACATATTGTCGCATACCTTGGCCCTTGTTTATCTTGTTTCTTTTTCCTATTATAAACCAACCAACATAACCAACCATTTTGGGGATTCCCTATTTATGGAAACACCCTAATATTGAACGGCTGTTTCAGCCGCTGTTTCAAACCACCGCTGCTTCGCGAGGTTGATCCTCTTCACATCGCCCTGCGAGAGTTTCTTGGTGCTTTGCTTGGCTGGTTCTGCTCTACCACTGCTGGCAGCCACACTCGAGAAGGACTTGCAATTGCCTTGGCCGTCCTTGCAACTCGCTTGATGTCGACGTGGACCGGAGGATCTGGAAGGTTCAAGATGTATTCAACATATTTATTATTTGTCTTCAACATACCTATAGGATTCAGCAACACCACTGTTCCGGGCGGAAGTGCATTTCTTTGTTTTTGTTCATTGTGGATTCGTTAATCGTTTTTTATCGATGCAGAGCTGCATGGATTCTCAGTCTTGGGGTGTCACCTGCGGACGAGGCACTTCCTGCCACCGTTCTTGGGACTTTGGCTTTCAACGTTGTGTTTTGCCTTCAGCGTCATCCGCCGGCGATCTTGCTCCTCTAGCTGCAGCTTGGAAGCGCTGGCGGGGGCGGTCTTGATCGTGCCCAAATGGATCCAAAAGACATGGAGACTAGATATGTGTAGATGGTAAGCGGACTAGAACTCTTGTCATCTCCCAGATGCGGTAGATGTAGACAGCGGCTCCTCGGAGCCCTGTTACCATCCTGTTACCTCAGGTATTGGTTCTTGTCTGTTCCTCTGGGTGCCACTTGCCTTGTTCAGCAGCCTCCTATTCTTACGACTCACATTCTGGCCTTCAGTATCTCCAACTGCGACTTGGCAATTTGAGCGGTTAACTGATGTTATTTTTTTTAAATTGGATTGCAAACATGGAGAGTTTGGGCCTGTATGTTTTGAAGTCTTGTTTTGGAAGTTCCTTTTCAATTTCTGGCACAATCCAACGGCAATCCCAAGCCTTGTCAGACCCCAACGGGCCACTGCCACTTAATCATCTGGTTTCATGTCATGCTTTCGAGATACCCGAAATAGTAAACCGACAAAACACGATGGAAAATCACCATTTTTAATGGGTAAATCCTGGAAAATCACCATTTTTAATGGGAAAACTCACTATCAATGACCATTTTCACTAGCCAACTGTAAACGTTTACCAGAGGGTATCCTGGTCAATGATGGTCAACTCACAACATTCATCGGACCCATCGGCACGACCGTTGAGATGATGATGCTACCGTTGCTGCTGGTGACCTGTACGCTGATCTTGTTTTCGTCGTTCCTGACCATTGCCTCCTTCTGTTTGGGCTATCGGGGAAGCCGCGACTGGATGGAGCAACTTGGCGCAGCTAGCGCATAGCGGAGCTTAAGGCATAGCGTCTGAGGCAAAGGGAAGGGAGGGCCAAAAAAAACACTGAGCAAGCTTGTTGCTTGATGTGCATACCAAGTAGCACGCGGGATATACATACATATATATATAATATACATATGTAAATATATAATTAGTAATGACACAATATTTAAAGTTAAAGAACAAAGCAAATTTATGTAATTGTTTGGGTTTCATAGCTCCAGTGTGTTGCAGGGTTTCCATGTGGTGGCATCAGGTGGCTCTTTGTTGGAAGGTCGTCACCTCGTCAGCCTTGCACCAGGTATGCGACCACCACTTTGCTGGCGATCTTGGTCTTCCTTCTACCCATGCTGTTGCTTGAAGTTTTAAGTCAGTCTCAAAAAACGCCAAGTGTTCAGAGAATTTCAGCCTCATGATCAACAAACCAGGAACATCCATGGGATTTTTTTTGCGTCAATTGATCTTTGAAATCATTGCAGTCATCGTCTATCTCTTTCCTAACCCCAACAAGCATCCAACAAGCATCCAACAAGCATCCTGAGGTCAGTGGAGATAGCAGTAGTGAGCTATTTGAAGGGTGCTTGTACCATCAATTGGGTCTTCGCCCCATGGACTGCTTGGCTGTCAGGCCTGGGATGACACTTGGACAGTTGGATGAGGGATGGCTTGCGATTTTTCGTTTTTTTTGGGGTGGTGAGATGGGATTTATATATGCCAATATGCCTTATATTTGCAATATCATGCCAGATATTTTAAGTATGGTTAGATGGATTTAACACATATTTAGCATATATTTAACATATATATATTTACCATATATATTTAACATATATATTTACCATATATAGCAATCTATTGACATACTTTCCCAGCGCCAGCAGTTGGCAGGTCTCGTGCTCTTCGCTGTGTGGCAGAGCTTTACCCCTCTGAAGCAACGTGACTGGAGAGGTGACAGGTTGAAATTTACATTCAAAAAACACGAAGTGATAGTATGGGAAAGATATAGTCTGTAAGATCTAGAAATTTATACGATATCTCATTTATATGGTGTATGAGATATACAGATAAACATTACACACACACATATTAGATCATATTAGTATATACATATATATTTATATATGGTAAGGATGCCATGGCATGAAGCTTCTGGTGTTATTGAGATTCTCGTCCTGCCAAGGCCAGCAAGCTTGCCCCAGCTGGATCGTTTGCCCAATCGCTACCGGAGGCTGGGAGCAGGGAACAGCTGGTAGCATCTGTGAAGATGTGAAGGATTCATATTCTGAGGATTCATTACATTGTACGTGTCAAAGGGAACTCAGCGGTACCACACATATAACTTGTGGTATGTAAATAATATTTGCATGGGACGCCATCTTGGCTCAAGCGCCCATTGTGAGGAAAACAGTTGCGCACCGTGTGCCATGTCTTGAGGGGGCTCGGCGACATCCAGCACAACAGGTACGATCAATTGAAACGATATCCAGGACAAGGATCTATTTGTTCACAGGTTATCAGCCGTAAGGGCTCACTTCTCCCGTCGGGAGAGGAGTACCTGCGTGCTGGTAGCCGGGCTGTCTGAGCAATTGATTGTGGACGCAAAGGACCAATCAGCTCATCATCGCAAAGATGCAAGGCGGCAGCGGAGATTCACGCAACACGCAGTTTACCTTCAATGAGAACACTGCTATGCCGGCCGAGGAGATCACTCAGTCTTCCCCTGGCGACACGGCAGACAGTGGTGGGATACGCTCTACCCGAACTACACAGTCCGGATGGCAAGTTACATCAAACAGGCGAAGAATATCCACCCAAAGTACACCAAGATCTTCTCGAAATAGTGCTCGAAGTGATGTTGGCCGTCAAGGACATCGGCCATCTCGAGGACGAACCACCCCAAGGGACAGATCCACCAGGGCCGTAACCGACCGAATTGGTGAGAGGACCGGGGACAGTCGTGTTAAGAGGAGATCAACGGATACTTCTGTGGCTAGTGAACCTATTGCCATGATAGAAGAACTACGGGCACAATGTCAATCCTTACGTAATCAGTTGAACCACATGGAAGCATATGCTGCATCAAGAGATCAACTGATTCATGACATCGAGATCAGATTCACTGAGTATCTTCAGGAACACAACCAGAATGTAGTTGATGAGGTCAATGCACTCAATCATAGATTGTCATGTTCCGCAAATGAGGTTGCAGAATATCAAGCAGAACTAATGGTAGCATCTCAGGAAGACGAAGGTGCAACAATACGCATCCAAGACCTTGAACGCCGAGGTGCCCTGATGGAACATGGTGCAAGACGAATCCATCAACGCGGTATGGAGATCCAGGAAGAGTACAAGGATGAAGTACATCACCTTCAAGGACTATTGGGTAATACGGAGGCAAGATTGCAACAACTTCATCAGACCAATGTCTTAGCTACCGATATTGCTAACCGATTGTACACTGAAGGTCAAGAAATGCAGACGGATTTCCAGAACTCAATCGTGGAATATCGTAATCGATCCGAAATGGCATCCTTCTCAAGCAATCAACTTGAAATGATTAGCCAACAACAATCAATTGCAGTTCATGAATTGTCTGAACGGAATCAGCTATTGAGTGAAGCTCTAGTTCAGTCTCGTAAACAGGCCGAGTTGTATGAAAGCAGTATTGAAGAGATCACTAGAGAATCTAGAAAGAAGGTTTTCGAGGCGAATCAGGCCAAATTGGAAAGTGATCTGAAGCACCGAAACACTGAGCATGACACTGTCAGAAGAATTGCATCATACAGGAATCATGAGGCCGAAGCGATATCACACCTGAGGCTTGAATCACAGGCTAGTGCAAATTCGATCGCAAGGGCAGAGCACTATGAAGAGCTCTATGCCAACGAGCAGGAGATGAACTGTGAGTTGAAGGATGAGATCAAAAAGCAGAACGTGAAGTTGCGAAGATCATTGACTCAGGGCACTACGACCGACGGTCGTGGCCATGATGAGATGCTTGTTGAAGACCTACGAAACCAAGCCAAAATAGCTCAAATCAGAGTTCAGGATCTAGACCATGAAGTTCATGAATGTTTACAGGAGAACATGTTGTTAAAAGAAAGATTGACTGAAGTTGCGGATGTAGGGGCGTCGTCCTTCTCCAACGCTGAAGTCCGAACTTTAAGATCTGAACTAGAAAGTGAGCGCAAAATGAAATTGGCTAGTGGTGTTCAACAATATGAGAGATCATGCATGTTTATGGGGGAAATTCAGGATAGAGATGAAAAGATTGGTATCAAGAATTCTGAGATTATTGACATGAAACGTCACTTAGATGAACTGAGAAATAGTCTCAAGGATTCTGAAACATCTATGTCTAGGGTCAGCCCTGATACACTTCCCTATTCGGCAGGCATCCCCAACTATGATCTCGCATCAAGACTGGTCATTGACAAACTGGAGAATGAGGTGAGTGAGGCTAACTCTGAGAACGCTATCCTAAAATCTTGGGTATCGCAGATCGACAAGGAGTTGACCTATGAGACAAATGTTGCTCAATCCTATCGCGGACATGCTGGACCTTCTCAACAGCAACCTTCTCAATCGAACAAAAGAATCACCGATCTGCTGAAAGAAGTTGACAACAAGATCGCCGATGGAACTGAGAAGGACTATTACAAGCCTCCGAGCGGATGGGGCGGTCCGCCTGACCCTGATGGACCTCCTGACCCTTTCGGGCCCAACGGTCCAGGACCACCTCCAGAACCTCCTGGTTTGCCTTCAGTTCGAGGATCACAACGTGATTCAGCAGATGACGTCTCCACAGCGGCTTACACGGCAGAAGAAGTACCGAGAATGTCAAGACGGGAGGCTGACAAAGTCTATGTTAGCCCATGGCCGAAGCAACAGAATCTTGGGGTTTGGCAATCAGATCTCATCAAGAGTGTCGTTCTTGCCGCGAATGATGGAGACAAAGCTGCGTGGGAAGCATGGTTACAACCGGCTATAAGACCAAATCCTGACATTGAGCTGCTTAATGACAGTGGCGGACAACGATACCAGTCAATTGACGCCAAGTTGTCAATTGCATTGTCAAACGTTATAACCCAAGCCGGTGATGTTGCTCGTCATGTAGCAATTAAACTGAGGTTGAGAACACAGAATCATAGTCGAAGAGGAACCTATGTTATGGGACGAGAAATCTTGGCTATGATCCTGGAACACTTCAGAACCCCAGGTCAACGAGAGACAGCCTTCACTATGGAGCACATCGTGTCGATGAAGTATCTCGGTGACTCCAACTTGGAAGTGTTCTACGAGAAATGGATGGAGATGGTATCAAACATGATGCCTGATGATGTACCTCCTGATGATTGGCTTCGTGACGCTCTATACAAGAAGATTCGAAATTCGAGTCTCATGATGTTTGACATCAAACAGTACGAGTCATGGATTGAAGGAGACCAAAGACGAAGCTATCGCTACCTGTTGGACGTCATCGAAAGGCACATCTCTAGAATTAGAGAAGACAAGCATGTGGCCGCCAGGGAGAAGTATGCAAGAGACTTTGCAGGTGGTGGCAAGCCCACTGCTCCTGCACCGAATCCAACTGCTGCTGCGCCAGATGCCAATCCAAAAGCGAAGCCTAAAGCCACTCCCAAGGAGAAGGCAGCACCTAAGGCGAAGGCCAAGGCTGAAGCAGCTCCAGTTCTACCATCACCTCAACCGAAACAGCATGCAAAAGGAAAAGGAAAAGGTCAAGGGAAAGGAAACGGTCGACCAAACAGCCGAAGTGCTAGTCCTAGATCCAAGAAGAAAATCCCATGCCACTTCCATGTCATCAAGAAAGCATGCAGAAAAGGCAAAGATTGTGAATACAGTCACGACCAAAAGGTGTTTGATGCGAACAAGAACGCGAAAGGTAATGGTCGAAAGCCAGGAACTCCGAGAAGTCAATCTCCAGCGAACAAGACCAAGAAGGTTGATGAACCATGCTGGCACTGGGCTAAGGGCAAGTGCCGATATGGAGACAAATGCAACAAACGTCATGATCCTCATCTATTCAACACTGCTCCAAACACCGAAGCATCAAGCTCAAAGGCTACTCCTGCACCCGTCCATGATTGGAGTGATGACGAAGGGACATTCCATAAGGTCGCATCGAATGTCGTCAAGAAGAAGGTCAGATTCGATGAATCCAAGACTTGCATCCAAACGTATGTGAAGAAGGACTTCGTGAAGTGCAGCCAGAAATCCCAGACCATCCCCAAAGGTCATGGTAAAGTTGGTAAGCCTACTGATCAGGTAAGGCAAGATGAGCAATGGTCTTATTCATGCAGACTAGCATCGAGCCGAGGGAAGGCAATGGCTATCCTGATCGATGAGAAGGGTGAGTACAGTGACATTGATGAAGTCCTGGTCATCGTCGGCCCCAGCCTGGACATTCTGATCAGACTCGACATCGAGGACGGTGAGGTGTCCAGGGAAGTCTTTGTGGAGAACTATGTTCAGCATATCGAGGGTCGATATGGTAAAAGGGGCAACACAATGTGTATCACTGTTCCCGTTGAAGAAAGAGATAAGAGATTCATATTGGATTCTGGAAGTGGTCATGATCTCATCTCATCTACACGAATAAGTAGAATGGATCTCCCAACATATGATGATAAAGTCGTCAACTTCCATACAGCAAACGGGGTAACATGTTCGACCAAACGTTCAAGTATCAAGTTCGAGGCATTCAACGAACCAGCAGAAGCTCACATCCTGGAAGACACGCCTTCTGTGATCTCCATGGGCAAGCGGTGCGTTGACCTTGGCTACTCATTCGTATGGCCGACTGGAAGAACTCCTTTCATGTTAGATCCCAATGGCAACATCATCGAAATGACTGTCAGAGACTACATTCCTTATATGAGTGTTGATCAAGAGAAGAGAAAGTTAAAATCATCCTGTGTGGAAAAGATCATGACAATTCTTGATGATGGACGCTCAACGTCGGAAGGCGAAGGTCTTTTGGTCATTGATGGGGAAAGTGGGGACGAACTTGAGGATCTTTCCGACGCCGTTGGACGATCCGATGTTAAATCTCCCAAGAAATTAACGAAGAAACGTAAGAAGGCAAAGTTGAAAGGTGATCAACATGAAGTAGCAGTTGGAAGTGATGCGGGTGATGCTGAGGAAATGTCATGCTATGCCGATGAATATGCCGAGTTTGAAGATGACGGGTACGATCCCAGCATT